CCCCATACAGCTTATATTTTCCATTTCTTGCCTAGAGTATGTCGCAAATTTAAAATAAACATCAGATAAGTTTAACGCCTTACCGGTAAGCTTGAAAACAAATTTTCCAAAGAGACGCTACTCCGCGCTTTTAGAGGAAGAGGCTGATATATAGTTATCGAAAGTAAACTGTTACAAGAACGTTCGCAGGCACCTGCTGCTGTTTTAATTCATTGAAAGAAAATCCCGAATTTAATTAAAATTGTATGAGTCTCTGTAGTATTAATATGCAAACCCGCCGAACTTTTAAAGGCTACGTAGGTTGTAGATTTTTTGCCTGTTTGAAATTTGTCCTGCTAAACCTAACAGATGTGCCAATGACTATGCAGAAATGCAATAAAGATAATGGTAACGGACAAAAGAGAAATACAGAGAAAGACGTTTAAACAACAGTCTGCAATTATGAACAATGAAAATTGCAAATGCTATCTTGCATTTGCTAAATCAACATAGGATTATGCCTTAAACTCTTTTAATTTACTCCTGCGCGAATATCGATTTCGTTTGAAAAAATGTCTCACTTGTTGATCTTAAACTCTATGATCTAACTGATACCAAATTGATATCTTTTAAAAATGATCTCGCCCAATACACAAAGTAGAGTTTCAAATCACTCTCATACATCTTTTATGCCTCTAAGGAGTGGCTAAGAAACTGTAAGACATGATATGCGATCTAACTACAAATATAGTAATGCTATTCTGTTTTTGTGTTCTTTTCCGAGCTGTCTTTTTTTTTGTTTGTTTGTTTGAGATGGTTTTATTTTTTGATTTATAATTTATATCAGTTCATCATATTCCTTTTCAAGATCTCATATCCACGGAAAATACCTGTATGCCGCATATTTATTTCAACAACCCCGCACTGACGTATCTTCGTTCAGTGGTGATTTTCAGAGTTGTCAACCTCGTCAAGTACGTGCTCTGTCAGACATCAATCATCTAATCGAACTTTATCCTTGTTTATAACCAAGACTTCAACGTGATATACTTAAAATGCTGAGTCAAGTACAAAAGCTGTTTATTATTACAATGTTTCATGTCAAATTTAAAATTTTAATACCTTGTATTAGCTTCTATAACTTCCTGTCAATTCGCACGCGCCGAGTAGGCGTAACTACTTATATACCAATATGCCAATTTAATTGGCTCTGCCGTCGCCTTTTCATCACAGATCACTAAAAAATTTGAAATTACATGTTTTAATTCCGAAATAGAGATAATGATAATGATAAAAATACACTTCTTTTCCGATAGCAATATTGTAACAAAAAACTTCTTTGATGAGGTATAAAAAATACTTTTAATCATTTACTGTGTTTATGTGTTTGTAAATAATAAATAAATGTAAGATATTAACTATTTTCAACTCGTAGCATGATATCAGCTGCCTCACTGTTGGATGAAAGATCTTAGTTTATTTAAAGCTGTGAAAAACTCACTTTATATCTCCTAGTTGAATATTGATGAATTTCTTGAACACGTGAAACTTGGTTCCTTCCTTATTTTTGTCACCTTTTAATTTTTTTCTCTGTTTTCATATTTCGAATGCAAATTCATACAATTCTACCAAGCTATAGTAAGAGAATTGTAATTAGTTTCATCATCTTAAACATGAGTAAAAGGGGTAAGTTTCTAAAGAAACTGTGGCGCTGCGTCGGTGGGAGAGTATAGCAGGTAATTTAGTGTTAACAACTGAGTTGAAAACGTAAATTGGCCACCGTAAAAAGTAAAAAAGCTGACGTTTCGAGCGTTGGGCCCTTCATCAATCGCTCTGACGAAGGACTAACGCTCGACACGTCAGCCTTTTTATTCTTTATCGTGGCCAATTTACGTTTTCAACTCGGTTGTTAACACTAAATTACTTCAAACAGGAGTAAGCTTGACAATTGTGGAACAGTTATAAGAGCATGCCAAGAGGGTTGTTAGAGGACTGTTGGGGCGCTGTTAGCAAGGGATAAAACCGGTTCATGAAGAAGCTTATTAAAGATCCGAGGCAACTAAATCTGTTTCGTGACAAAGTCGCCACTGCATAATTAGTTATTAATGCCATTTTATTGTTACCATCGCAACAACCAAACATGTCCACGATATAATTAAGTATTCTGTACTCGGACATTTGTAGAAATCAACTGAACTGTGTGAAGTGCTACTCTACGTGGACCAGTATTTGAAAAAGTCAGAAGAAAGTTGAAAGAAAGACTTCATTAATCGGCCCAAGCTAAAAAGAGCCTGAAAATAAATAACCAAAGTAATGCGAGTATCCAAACAAAGCCGGAAATTTGGAAATAATGGATAAATAACACGAGTAAATACATCAAATATGAATATGGAAAAATAATAACAAAATATAGAACAAACCAAGATTTAAACGATCAATAAGTGATTTGCACCAGCATAAAGCTTACATTGGTATAATTTAGGGAACTATCGTAATTAATATTACCTGCAAGAATTCCATTCAAAACCAAATCCGTCGCTCAGATGAGCCAAATTCTAAATTTATCTAAAGAGTGTTTGGATAGAAAATACCTTAACTGATAAAAGGCGCCATGGACACACAAAAATCCATACCTGCATAATGCTTTATAGGAGGTGAAACAGAGAGGAGAGAGAGGAGAAAGTTAAATGAAATTTCGGCATAAAAGTACTCTTTCCTTCTTGTCTCTGACTTGAATGCTTCAGAAGAGTTTAATGATTATGACCTGAAATATTCTGGTATTGAAACTGCGGTTGTTTCTATTCAGAGTATCAATAGTTTTTGTTTGTGGATTGTTCAATGGCTGTGTAGCTGAGCCATTCAATATATATAACTTCGAAGCTCAAATTAACCTTGCTCCGCGCACAGTACAGTGTACATTGGTGCTATTGTTGATGTTTCAAGCTAAAGATGTAGTCTAATGAAGGAAGGGTAAACATCTTAGCTTTTCAGGCACAATGCCGTTTGGAGCCGCACTGTCTGAATATCTCTTTCGAAGAGGAAAGACGTGTTCTCAAGTAATCTCTGCGATTGATTCAGTTAACAGGAATGTATCAAGAGTGATACTGAAAGCGTGATTTAAAAGTACCATCATCGAAAAGAAAAGGAAATGGGTTGATCGAATGCTTTTCTGCAAAAAGTATGTATATATTGCAATCGATTGGGTGAACAGGTAAGTTGAAGCAAGATATTGTATGCGTGAATTTAAAGTACCATTAATTAATAGAATAAAAGTTAGGTTGGCCGTGCTGAATGCTTTCCCACGCAAAAAAAAAAATATTAAACGGTCATTAGTGCATAGAGTAGTTGCTGCTTCATATCTAGGTTTGTGCGATCGGTCTGTATTAACAACGCGATACGTGGGTTGTACACAACACTCAATACAGGCATCTTCCTTTGCTTTCAACTTAGAAGAATCTCGACCTCGTAGACATAAACTATGCAAAAATCATTGGAACATAGATAAATATTATAGTGTTCTGTTTAACGTGATCGAAGCGAAATTTATTAAACACAACACTCTAAAGAACCGTAAAGATGATTGCCATTATAAAGATTGTTTACACACAGATATTCTGATGATACAATGCCGGTGGAGCTCTGTGATTCTGTATAAATAAAAACCTACTGTAGATATTAGCTTGTGAGATTAATCAGATTTATTCCCATTTTCACAGACACGTATTTCATACAGCTTATGATACACAGCGTCACGAACAACATAAACATTCCTTCCTTGCTCTGGCTCTCAAATACATTCTTAGCATACGTCAAGCAAAAATATCGCAGCTACAATTCTAAGACTTTTAGGGAATTTTGTTTAACACCTGTTTTTGGTAATTTTTCTTTGCTGACCTCATAAAATCGACTTCTTCAATTCGAATAAAAAGTAAAAGCTTGATGTACTTTCAATAAGCACTTTTTGACAAGATATTGGATGCGTTGATTTCCAATCTTCTTTCGTTTTCTCCTTAAAAGTTCAATCACTAATTGAGAAAAGGAAAGAAAGAAAGAACAAGCTCTCCTTCTTCATCAAAGTTCAGTTAAAACTCCCTTTTGGTGTCTTCAATATTAATTTGATTATTACTTGACAAAGTTAACGTTATTATAAAGATCAATTATCTTGATAACACTTTTTTCCAAATTTTTTGTAATTCCGTTATGTTTATTGCTTAATATAGCTTCATTATTTTATACTCATATTTGAATATGTTTAAACCGTGAGACCAGTATAGGAAAAAAATCGATCAAAGCGGAAAGCTCCAATAGGAAAAGAACCTGCTATTGTCATACGTTTATAAGGTGTTGGCACCAAATGCTTTAATAGTTTTTAAGTGATCGATGTGACTTAGTTCATCTATCTCCTGTCCTTTTTCTCCTTATTTATAATGATTGTTTATGATCTATTTTTACTCAGAAGAAAAAATCCCGCATATTACAACGTGTAAATACTTCTTAGATTGCAGACGAGAAAGCGGTTTGTTTGTATGGCCTCTTTTCCCGAGAATTAAAGCAAATGCCTCAAAGTTCGAAATATCAGGAATGAAATAGAAAAATCAAGAATCCGCAGTACAATATAACTTCTCTGGCAAATGTGACTCAGATATATGAATACATTCTATTGCCTGTCGCCTTAACCTCGTCTATAAGATATCTCAGGGCAGATGTCTGTTATGAGCAAAATAAAACATGAACAATGTTAAGCACACAGAACCAAACGTGATCGTTTTATTTTTTTCTCCTAATATCAATATCAACAATATCCTAATATCAGTAGAAGGAAGTGACAATCAAAACTATATATTTTTGTGGAGCGAGTCAATACAGGCATTCCGACGTGATGTCTCCATGAAAGCACCCGCTATTGGCTGGATAATGTGAACGTGATAATCAATATTTGACCCGAAGTATGTGGAGACATATACATCTATAATCATTCTTAAAAGGGAGCCACAGCAGTCGATTGAGTCCAACGATTCAAGATGAAGAGTTCTCTGCTTTATCTAACGGTAGGTCCTTTATAGCTGTAAGCTAATTGAAAATCCTTGTGGATATTAATTTTTATCAAGTTCTTGGCGGATACCTTCAGCAAAATGGACGGTTTTTTCAAAACATTGCAATTTGATTCTCTATATAACTAACATGCCACAGCTGCAAAAAGTATGCGATGGCAGAGCAGCGCCATAAACACAGCAAGTTGCACCTCTTCGGTAACGCTGTTAGATGCATAACTCTGAGATTCCTAAAAAGTTAGTGATATAAACGTATTTATATATATAAACGTATTGTGATGCAAACGCTTCGAACAATCATTACGAACATTTTCTTCTGCTAAATCAATTGCGGCGATATGTTTGTTAAAGAATAAACTTCTTCGTATATTCAACTGATGATCAGTTTTGCAAATATAATATTTTCATAAAAGACATTTCACCTTTGCAAACCTAACGTGTATATTTTGTAGTGCTAGGAATATCTGTTTCTACCGATAAAACAAGACAACAAATCAAAACTATATCTTGCCGCACTTGTTCATTGCTTGGGTAGTGAGTTACCATCTCACAGTCCAAACAAATTAAAATGCAAGATGCCCGCATAACTGAAACCTTATGGGTCCTTTACTCACTCTTCGATATTTCCAACTGCCCCAGGGTCTTTATCGTGTAAACATTGTTATCAAACAACACATGGGAATGCCTTACATATCTGACAAAGTTTTGTAGTTGTGCACGCCACGCAGGTGTTTTTGAGCGGCGACGCTTAATGAGTTCAAAGCCAATCTACAACATTTAGAAATTTTGTTCAATTAGGAAACAGTTTTTAGTTCAGGCGTATACGAAGGAGGCTATTTCACACTGGAGTACATCACAATACGAAGAAATTATTTTAATGTCCTTTAAGGTTATAAATTTCTTTTCCCTCTGCTATCTGCTTAGGCAACATTTTCAGCTACATGCAAGAAGTCCAATATATGACCAGTATATCCTTAACTAGGGTAATGACAGAGAATCAATTTCATCTCCCCTCTTCCTTCCTTTATGGGTATAACTTTTCTTCCTTTTGCTCTTTAATCCTGCAACTTTTTTCAGTTACACGCAAGGGGTCCAATAAATGACAAATAAATCCTCAACTAGGGTACTAACAGAGAAACATATTACTACCTTAGGTGCTGTTGATATGCATTACAGAAATTGAGTCTTTGCCAAACCCTAAAATGCTGACAGAAATTGGAAGCTTAGCAGGCTGGGAGGCCAAACATAACTTTGGAATTGAAACCCGAGGTATTTAAAGATTTATGATTTAGTTAATCGGACCAAAAACTTAAAAAAAAATTAAGAATTTAAGAACCGCCCCACTCAAGTTAATCCAAGTTTGTCGTTGTTTTTTCGCGAGGGAACTTGTTAGTGCTGTGGGTGAAGCATATAGACAAGGGTCTGGCATTAGCGACGGCAACAGTCTCAAAGAAAACCAATAGCTTAACTTCACAACTCATCAATATCTCAGTTTTCAAGACCAGACGTTAAGTGCTTGATTAGCTAAAAACTCTTTACCTCGCCCTGATGATGAAATATGACTCCTGCAAAAGTTGTTAGAACGTCAAACCTCACTGCCACCAGCGACAGTCCTTTTCAAAACTTTTCTCAGCCGCATGATCAGATTATATAATCAACTCTTTAGAGCTTGAATTAAAAGTAAGTGGGTAAGGTGTGTGCTCGAGCCAGGTGGCCCGCCCATCCAGCCCGAGCCCAGCCCGGTTTCCATCGCATGAAGTGAATAGCAGCATTTGTAATTAGTACTTCTCCCCGAATGGCATACCAGTGCATCGCAAAGTCCCCCCCCCCTTCCCCCTGCATATCATTTCACCAGGCTTTCCTGAAAAGAGGAAGTCAAAAGTACAGCCCTTCAATTTTTTCCTTCAGTTTGCCTTTATGTTTGGGTTTTCTTTTCTTGCTTATTTTTTGAGTATTGTTTTTTTCTTATTTGTTGTTTCTTTTTTCCGTGTTGTTGCTTCCGTTGTTCTTCTTGTTCTTGATTTCAGTCAAAATTACGACGGCAGTATTCATACAGTTTTTCTATCCTTACTAAATTAATAAAATCATTCCTTAAGACTATTTTGTAGTACGAAAGGATCACGGGCAAATCCTGCTAGACGCGAAATAATCGTGGAGTAAAGCACTTTTTTGTCTCACTCCTATTTAGGGCCTCGTCTTTCGGTCAGTAGAGGCGCCTGACTAACAAATTTAAATCCCTTTTCTGCAATTGCTAAAATTGCAGTCCACCCACCAGGATCATCTTCTTTCTTGATCAAAGCTTCCTGGCTAAAATCAATCATTGATTTGTATATTTCTTTTGATAGCGTCCAATCTGATGTGCGCCGCTTGCGTGGATGATTCTTGTTCTGATGAACGCGTGGACAACTGTGCTCCAGGATTTTCCTGTGTGACTCTAAATACGGTTGATAATCAAAATCAGCCAGGCCTTCTTAAGTTTTGTTTCACGACAATTTTTTGCTCTGGAAACACTTTATGCAATTTGCATAACGATACCTTGGGAGGAAACCTGACATCTTGTATGTTAGAATGTTGCTCTACCAATTTATGCAATGCAGCAGTTACGCCGACCACAATGACCGAAGGACCGAACACTGCCGAGACATCAACAACCACAGAGGCTCCGACCACCACCGAGGCACCTACGACCACTGAGGCGCCGACGACGACAGAGGCACCAACGACCACCGAGGCGCCGACGACGACATCGGCACCAACGACTACCGCCGCACCTACCACACCCGCACCGACAATGATTACAATTACACCAGGTAACTAAAATCTCTAAGTACAGCTTTTACCCAAACAGGACGTTTATCAGTTACCTTTCGAGTAAGAAAATTCATTTACGTAAGAGAAAGGAAAGAGAGGGCGAGAGCAACCAACAACACAGATCTAATTAAAAAAAAAAAAAAATGGGCATGAGTTGTTTCTGTTTTCTTAATTCATACTTTAAAGTGTGCATAAGTAACGCGAAGATCTACAGGGCCACGTACAAATTTTGCAGATGCTGAGAAAATAATGTTTTGAGTATAAAGTAAGGATTTCGTAATGTCGACGTTATGCTTTTGAAAATGTCGCTGAAATTGCTATTTATAGAATCATTAACGGAATTAGTGTCATTCGACAACGGTCAGTTGAAAGAAAGAAAAATGGAAAACAGATACGCGAAAAGGAAAAAGCTTATCGTGATTAGGAATAATTTTTCAGGCATGGAGCCACTGATTAGCATTCATATCAAAACATCAGAAACGGTGAAAATCTCTTACAATTAAAAATGTCTATACATGTTTGTTCACAGGCCAAACTGTAGTCCTTAGATCGCCTGGTTACCCTGACAGTTATCCACCTGACACCACCAGAACCTGGGATCTTGGTACTCTTGGAGAACACCGTTATCTTAGACTTGAGTTTCGGAGGTTCGACCTTGGATCAGGGTAAGCGTTTTGTGTGTGTCTATCATTATTATCATCATTATAATTTCTTTATCACAACCAACAGCATGAATATACGCCCGTCAACTGATGGCTGTTCTTCTTCCATGAAGCAATAATCGACCATTCGAGTATGATAACTTTTCTATACCCAATCGGGATAAAAATATGTGGTCTGAATGGAAAATTTTGTTTGAAAAACTTACATCAGTAGAGTGCTAAACATGGTTTTATACAAATATTTATTTATTTATAAATTATAATTCTTTTGCAGGGATACCTTAACTTTCGAGCAAGGGGGCCGAGAACTTTTAAGCCTAAATGGTGATTCCCGACTTAAGCGGTCCAAATATGGGTGTAGCAAGGATGATGATGATGATGATGATGATGATGATGATGATGATGATGATGATGACGATGATGAAGTTGCTGGCCCTAATTCTCCTTATGGTTTTTCCCAATTTGAAAAAATTGACTTAAATGATTTGGAGAAAGCCTATGACGAATACTTCTCATCCATTTATCCAAGGGCGCCGAGAAATAGATTTGAACACATTTGTGGATCTCAAAGTAATGAACCCATAATAGTTACGTTTACTTCCGATAGCAATGATGGCCAGAACGGAGGATTTTATCTCAAAGTCACGAATAAAAAACGTAAGAATTTAAGGTTTATTTTTTAATTAATTAATTTTATTTTATCGATGAATTGATAGATCCTTGTCGTATCTAATCTGTATCAAACCAGAAGCCATAACTTAACTTATAGGCCACCATTTTTAGTGTATCTAAACATGTCAAAACCAAGGGATAACGATCACAATTTGATCATCTGGAACCAATGCTACACCTATCCGGCATCTACTAACCCAATGCCGTTTTATCAATTTTCAGGTCGTGAAGACGACGACGATCGTTGATGATTCCTACTAAGCTTTTCCCTTACCTATTTCTGATACGTTTTAAAGAGGTCTATCTTTTTAGTCCGATAGACAGCAAGTTGTACTGTAACTCGCACTGAGATTTCCCTAATATTGTAATAAACTTTGCTTGATTGTCCAGAGAGTAAAAAGATCGTAAAAAGCAAGAGGATATAAGCACAATCATATTATCTTGTGACAATATATGTATTGATTCATGTATTTGAGGCTAAACCTAGCTTTCTTACAAACGTTTGTCTCTCGTTCCTTGTTTTGTTTATGTCCCTTTAAACGATTAGAAGACATACACTGACAGATGCAATAAATTGTGATTTGCAAAAGTAACGGGTTCAATGATGTAAAACGAAACATAGCAAAAATTATGGGCGCTTGAGGGGGAAGGGAAGGGGGAAGAAAGGAGAAAGGAAAAGGGATTGGGGAGTTATAGTCGGTATCCTGCTTTAGTCTCTCAGCCTGTGACATTACTGCAAAATTCTGGTGTGTGATCAATTATCTCTTTACCATTTGTTCCATCAAAGGCTTGAGAATGAAACTGAGAGCCTTGCAACTGACAGAATTAATTAAACTTCGATGATAATGGTAGTCAAATCTGAATTATTCAAATCAAAGAATATATTACAAAATAATATCGATATAATAGGTATTATAATGTTACCTTGAGTAACACAGAATGCATACCTTCAAACACCTCACAAGCCCTCTTAGCTTGTTCGTCTTCTATTTCTTCGGCTGCTTTCTTTACTGGTTATTTCTTCTACGGGGGCAACTTGTCCATCGAAGAGATGCCTTTGAACTCAAGGGTATGATACACGCAGAAAAACAGAGGCTGAATCGTAGATTGCAATTTAGCATCAGTGACAATATGCTGGTGAGAAATTACCTCTCAGAAATAGTCTGCTAACTGAAGTGTGGATCGCCCTCGGCAACATACGATTCATCAAGGTTGTCGTTAGTTTACTTATTCATTTCTCATTAGCGCCGCTGTAAGTTGCCTTTTTATTACTCATGTGAGTTTGAATTCAATGCACGTTACATCTCTACTGTGCCCTTTTTCTTTCAGCAATTTTACAAGAAGGGTGGTATCTATTTCCAGATTGAAAACTTTGATAGTAAATCTCGCACGTCGCGTAAATCTCATATACAAGAAAACTGGATCAAAGTTGTTTTTTTCACATTAGTTTAACATACATTGTCAACAACATGTAGGAAGAGAAACTTGTGAAGGTTACATAAAAGCGAACAACGAACAACCGATAGTTGAGGGCAGAAAAATAAACATCGAGAGAAATCTTATCACGTCATTGTTCAAAAGTGTTCGTTCTACAGGCATCACTGATCACTTTCCTTCCACTGGACCTGAAAAGAAAACGCATGAGTCAAGTTGAAGTTTGTGGAGGAAATAATGCGATGTTACGCTTGCTTTGATTAGTCAGAGCCAATCCAAAGGTCATGTTTTGGGAGGTCATGTGATCACCCCAATAAACCAATAGAAATTTATTTGTATTTCATTAATACTAGAGCAGTATTTAAACCCTGCCATTCTTTCTGTTGTCGTCAACTTCATCTTCATTATTCCTTACAATTTTTTAGCAACTGCTGAATGCATGATTTAATTCATAGAAAAGGTCTTTTGGTTTCGCAGCGTATCAAAAGACCCAAGCAATGGACAATGCTCAGTTTTGTGCCACGTATTTCCTCAGATACTGTCCATAGTTGGGGGCAAGAAAGTTAGGCTCAATATACTCTCAGTTAGCAAGAAGTCCAAAACCAACCTTTCCAAAGTAATTGCCGAGTCAATTTTTACTCCTATTTTGCTAAAAATAAAGAAAAGGAAATTAAACCCACCAGCGTTCTCCCCTCAATAAACTATTGCAGCCATATTGGTTCTAATGTTTTACAATCAGAGCTGCCTTTTTGTGCATAATTTTCTTATTCTTATTTGTACCTCCAGAATATCAAGAACGAAGAGCACGTTACCTCGTACAACTCGATAAGTGGCATCAAATCCTTTGAAGGTGATTATCTTGTCGGACTTGAAATTAACCGATATCTGTTCGCCATTTCCCAGGATATATACTCGAGGCAGGAATGGAAAACCATAAAATCTTGTCATTCCGAATCCAAAACGGAATTTTTTCTTCCAGTCGTCATCGTCATCGTCGTCGCCATCGTCATCATCATCGTCGTCATCATCACAATCATCGTCTAAGAAATCGTCGTGTCTCCCTGTAAACCACGAATAAGCCCCGTATATGCCACTCAAACTACGTATCTCTCGAAAGCCACGGAGAATCTTGACGTGATCAAAACTGCAAGAAAAAAAATGTAACTACCGATACAAAAGGGGAAAAAGCTTTTGCTAACAGCTATAAGATAAACTGAACTGAAAGCTGATGACAACAATCAGCAAAGTTATCAACACACAACCCTTAATCACGATTCGACTTTCTAAGTAATTTTTATGAAACGAGATTACATTACCCAGAATTTTATTCACTCTTTTGCTTTCGAAATTTAGATAAAAGAGGAAAATTGACGCACTCACCCAAACGATAAAAGCGTGGAACCTTGATACGATTTGACTGTAAAGTTTTCGATTTAACCTCAAGTTCAGCCAGGTTACGTTAAACAAACACGAAGGGAAATAGAACCATACTTACAATATGTCGCTCAAAAGAAAAGGACGATACAAGGATAGCCTTTTTGCTTATTGTTCCCGATGTAAATAAAGTTTACCTCTTTTAAAGAAGTATTGAAAAGATTAAGGTTTTATTTTCTCCTTTGCTGGGTTCTAAATAGTTCTTGTTTGAAATTTTTTAAAAAGTAACTTTTTTCCTTTTGTTTCCAAACCTTGAACTGAAACAGAAACATTCGCTTTAACTAATAACAAAAGCCGCATCACTTCACATGGATAGTTTCTATTAGCTCCCTTCTCTACAACTTGATGAAGAACAGTCGACTCACCACCGCTCAGTTTCAAAGGCCCGAAAATTTAAAACCAAAGTGGATCCAAGGGGAACTGTGATAGTCCATCTACATTCAACATCGTTCGGATAATTTGCTGGAAAACCGGGAGAGGTAATGTTCCCGGATGCTGGAGCCAAAGGACCGCCACAAAGGGCTAAAAGAGAGAATAGATTGTTAGGTCAAGGAGATTCAGGGGATTAAAAGTCAATATGTTATAACAAACCTCTACATCCTAAAATAAGTACTCATACTCTTCATACAGTTCCCAATAAATTTCCTAGGGTGTTTACAAGGAAAATTTGTTCAACAACCTTCTTTTGTTAGAGATCATTTCCTTTATTCTTGTGACAATAAAGTGGGATCTACGCGATATTGTTCACGTATCGTTATTATAGGTCAAAAAGTTAGCAGCAGATATATATTGAGCCCGTTGATACTAAGACTAAGGATAGCTGCATCTTTATTGAATCGGATGATATCTTGATTTGATTAATGTGCGCACGTGTCTTACCTTTCTCCATAGTGTAATGGGCAAAGAATCCTCTCCTTGTCACCCATGGATCGGATTTGAACACAATTCTCACGGGTTCCCCATTACCATGAACAGAGACGACTTTCGCTTTTCTGTCTGCTCTCAGAGGCTCGGCAAACATGTAATTTCTTTTTCCATTTTTATCATTGTCGTCATCGTAGTCGTCGTCGTCGTCATCATCGTCATCACACTCGTCATCATCGTTATCATCGTTTTTATCCTTGAAATATTTATCGTCCTCAGATTCTCCTCCTCGTGTCAGACGACGGATCAGCCTCCTTCCCTGATAGACTTTAACCAAATCATAGCTGCAATATATAAAAAATGATCATTGTCAGGATAACAATAATAATGATTGTAGCGACCACTAAAGCAACAAATGCACAAGCAGGCAAAGCACAAATCCATTGCCTCAAAAAATTTCAAATTTCAAGAGAGCGCAATATTGCAACCCCTTCGACACTTTATAACCTCAGTGTTAAAGCAAAGAAGAAAAAAAAAGCGGACAAAGAAAAAAAAGCTTTAAAAAAAAACCCTGAGGTGTTAACCAAAAAACATTTTTAACTCACCAAGGTTCTGTGTCAAAGAAGAGAAAGTCAATCCTGAATTGTGAGCCCGGAGGCACTGTTACGGTCCACACACAATAAGTGTTGCTGGGGTAGTTACCAGGGTAATTAGGAGATGCTAAGTTCCCGGATGGGCCCACTAAAGCACCACCGCATTGCCCTGGTGCCACTGAGAAATTTAAAGAAGATTTGAACGTTAATAAGAGGAATAACATATTTTCCCATTCAACAAACAATCTCATAATTTACAAAATATATTATTCTGAGAGTGTATCATTACTCCTGATAAATGATCAGTTTTGATCGAGTTAACTGGCTCAATCCTGTAATGGAAGACACAGGACACTTCACAACTAAAACACAACTTCATGAACCTATTGTTTTCATTGTTTTCCTTATTGTTTCATAGTTTTGTATTTTTGTTCTCTTTTGTTTTACGTCAACTGTATCTTCCACACCATGGATTCATGGATTCTAGCTTGGATTTTAGGTCTCTGAACCTTTTTAAAACCTTCGCAGCCTATGTTAAGCTTTTTTTGTTGATAACCAGTGGAGAAATGAGTATTGTGAAAAGCCATAACTGTACTGGATTTTTTAACGTAACATGCCCAGCGACATTTGTGCGATTCATAAAATCACCCCACAGCTTCACCTGGTTTAGGAGGCGGTCTCGTGGTTGGACTAGGAAAAGGTAATGACTGTGTCACTGTAATGCATGCCAGCACTAACTACGGAAAAAAAAAAGGATAATTGATTATTGCTACCCCACACTGTTTGTCAGAGGCAATATGATATATCACTTTATATTGTAATTTTAACCAGGCCAGTGGTCTAATATCCCAGTTATCACTGATGTCAACAATTCTGGGAAGACGGTTATTGGCTCACTTACGTGTTCGTTTCGTATATTAAGTTATTCTGCGCATGGCAGTTAGAAGTTTTTTAATAGAAATTCAATACAGTCCAAGAGTCTTTAGGTCCTATAGCAACGTGCTAAATCCAATCGTTTTCGCGCAAAGGGTTAAGTGAGCGACTAAAAGACCAGAATGAGAAGAATTTTCAGGGAAGAAGTTTTAAAAGCAATTGCTGTTCAGCTCACGTACATCACACCGACGCCTGTTAGGGAAGGATTTCACCAACCATCTTGTTCTTCTGTTTCATTGTAATAAGTAATCAATACCGTATTGTTTTCAATTTTGAAAGCTATCCTCAATATGTCTTTAAGTTATCTGAAGGCTTTTGCTTTCGACAGCAATTTCAGTTCACTGGGCAACACGAAACATTGTATAATGGTGAACACCGTGCCGATGGATCTTGTAATTACTCCGACATTCCAATCTATTCAAGTTGTTTTATCTTCATATCCTTATGCTGACACGTTAAATTTCTCAGACTAAATTATCCTTTCTTGAAGTCAAGAGGCCAAAAAATATAAGGAAAGGTAAAAATCAACGAATATTGAAGGGGATTGATCAGTCACTCTATAGTTCTAAAAACAAATATTAAGCTTTCTCATGTGGATGGAAACTTTAGGGTCTTTTTGAAAGCTTACGTTGTTAATTATACGCTGGAGAAACCAAGGAATTACCGGCGCCTTTTAGTTCCTGTGAGAAGTAATTATGCTTTAGGAAAGACTACTAGTTAAGTTCTCTCAAAGGTGAGATACTTTGAATTATATGTTTCATTAAAGCAACTTTGTTTTAAGCGTGTGTTAAGATACGGTAACACTGTAGTATTTCGCTCAGAATGGCAACGCAAAATGTTCATTATCTCACTCACATCGGCTTCATATAATCAGTCAAATATCGCTCTCTCTTTTTTTTTTTTTTTTTTCACTTATACTTTTGAAAGTAACACGGTTATATTGCGAACCTGTCCATTTTTATTTTTTTTAGTCTTGACGTTGTACAGTTGTAAGAATTCAACTTTGAACTAACATACTGGGGTATGACATTGATTGGCGATGCATGTTTGAATTTTATGATGTTTACTAAGGAAAATGGGAAGCTAATACTGTGTTGTGATAGGTTCAAAACAATCAGTGATTGTTCAAACTACAAACAATCAGGTACTCTAAAGCTGAGCTGACTAGAATAATTTATCTGTAAAAATGCCTAAAAGGGGCAATTCTGCGTAAGAACTAATATCTTCAGAGAGACACGTCCTGAACTCCTCCGCTTATCTCGCTTTAAATTGTTTCTTTTCTGATTAGTAACTGCTATTTCTGTGATGATGCTCCAAACGGGACAACAACTTAAATTGAGAGCTTCATGAAGTAAAACAACTCTGAATGTAGGTTCCTATGAGCTATAGTATAATAGTAGCAGCAGCAAGTTATCCTTACTAAAAGACGGTTTACCTCTACGCCAATGTTTGCTCAACGCTATCCTTTATCCACCTAAAGCTAATTGAAAACTGGGAATTCATGAGAAATGTTTACGAGCAACGCTTCCAAAGTTCCTCAAAACCAATCGGAGAGAAATAATATATTTTAAGGCTTACCGTCAGTGCAGTTGGAGGAGCCCTCATTTTTGCTTGACAACTTGCTACGGTTCCTTGTTTACTCAGTTTTCTGAAATTTGCCAATTTACTTGCGTTTTATATGCTCAACAGACCAATGATATGGTTCTCCAATGAAACAGCAATATGAGACGTGCTTTCCTCCACTTAAAAATTCAAGTGTCGGTCTGGCCTTTGCAGATCTGTTGTACCGCTACAAACTAAAGATAGCTGCATCAACCCTTAAATTCTAACAATTATTTCACGGCAGACAATATGGTCACTATGAAGAAATGATTTCATTGTCCTTTGCATAACATCATTTCTCTCTGTAATGTATCTAACATTTTACGACTGTTAGAGTTCACTCAGGGTCAGGGGGAAAACACTATTGTTTACAAAAGCTAATACTAATTGCCAAGTGCACGGAATGATTTGATCAACTGCGAACTTGAGGAATATCCTCTCGCTAAACCCATTAACGTAAACCATGTCGACATATAGTCTCTGCTGTTTCCTTCAAAACCTAAAATATTTCATACTTAACTATATAGTTGAAGATTGGAATGGATGGCTTAAATTTCTGATAAAGAATTGTCAAGCCGTCAAAAGGTTTTATATATTGCGCTATCAAAGTCCAAAAACGTACATACTTTTTTTTTTCTTCAACTTCATTAATGACATCATTCCTCTTAAAATGATGACGCAAGCCTCCATTTGCTTTTTTTTTCTCATAAATCTGATCTCGTTGAGGCCTGAGTGTCTTTAAAATGTTAAAAAGCTAAGGTGAATCGATAAGAGAATTGCTAATATATTACGCTATAAATGTTAGGAGTAGAAGTTTTTTAAAAGCAAAACGTCATAAAAAGGTTTTCATAACGAGCACATAAAGAGCGTAAGACAATGATTTAAGGAGCAGGCTACCCTCCAAGCTCCTGAGGTGACGTTTCTCTTTAAATAAACGCCAAGACGTTCAGGAGGAAGGTTGGAAACGCGATGTAAACTATTTTTCACCCTTTACGGCCCTACGAGACAAATATCCAAGGATTTTATCGGCCTCTTATGTCTTAGGTTGAATTTCCGGACGCTATTTTTGGCCTTATCATGAATATCACTGGAAGACAATCGGTTTTTACCTTATCGCAGCATAAAAAATATACGATACAGCCTTAAACTTCGTAATTTTTGTTTTACAAAGATTGTAAACAAAAATGTTCCCAAGCACATCCAGTGCTGGTGGGACAAAAAGTCACTAAAATATCAACCTGAAGAAATGAGAGAACCACTCAAAATGTTGTACCTTGATATCCAGTCAAACGAAAGTTTTGTAGAGAGCATGTCACGGCTAAAAAAATTGATCTTAAATAATCGAGCAAGAAACTCGTGAAGGTTTCAAATAAATTAAGGTCAATTTAACTACAGAATTCTGAGAAATCATAAGTCCACCGGTATTCAGCTCATTCACAGGAAAATGAGGAATTCTTCAATTCTGGGAAAGGAGACATAGAAAAATGATGAATGAATATTATTAATAAGTATTATTAAAAGTTATGTAGACTGTTGACTAGACATTTAACTATCAAGATTAAAAAAAGCAAACAATTATGAAAAATTTGAAGGAAATTGTATTTGTGTTAGCTTGTAAGACGTCGTTCCGAATCTTTTTTTTTTTTTTTTTTTTTTTTTTTTTTTTGAGGCTAATATTTTTTTCGTTTTCGTCTGCAAATCTTAATGAATAATTTTGAAAGACACTTTTCCCGAGAGATTTTCTATCTAAAAATGAATTGGAAGTTAAGAACTTAAATCAGGAAAAATGAGTCATTTTATCTTTTGTTGCATTTTTTAGAAGAGCTTACTATGCTGAGATGTGACAGAGTTACTGAAATTCGATTGACTATTATGCTCTTGTCTAAAGTAAAGCCAAGACAAGATTAAATATCATTAATAACATAAAAGATCTGTCGGATCACAGAGGATAGATCTCTCTATAGCTGAATTTCTGCACAAAAAATTATTTGTCTTTTTTTACTATCCATGGTCAAATTACATCATAACAATCAGAGAAAATAGTCTTATTCGAGCTTTTGCAGACCGAAGCAGTCGGAAAGGAAGAAATAACATTTTGACCTCAGTAGACCCAATATTTAAGAAGAGTCTGCAATTAGCAAGCCACGAACTTTACTTTAGTGAAATGTCACTTCTTCTTTATTCTGACCACATTTGTAGTCCAGGTTGTTTTAACCAATTTATCTTTGTTAATCACATCAGCTAAAACATGTAGCAGCTACTTACATTTGAAACTGAATATTTAATGATCGATATAAAAATTCTATACAGAAACATTTTCCTTTCTCCATAAATTGGTACGGTCTAAAACTCTCGATTTTTACTGAAATCAGTTGAATGAAAGGCTATACAACCGTAATTAAGTTGATAGATCCAAGAGCAAGCAGAGCCTTTGCCTGATGAAGCACTATTCACTGTCCACAATTATGCACACTCCTTTTATGAGCAATACATAGAATTTCCGCAACTTGTCCAGACAAAAAAAATTTAAAAAAGCTCTTATAATTCAATCTATGACAAGAGTTTCTTAGATTAAGGAGGTTAATTAGACGTGTTACGAAGTAACGACTCAAGCAAACTCTAATATATTAATTACGTCGAAGCATGTTTCCATGTGCTTTAATTTAGCTCGGTGAATCGAAGGAAACTGTAAAGATTTTCATTATTAGGTTAATTCTAAGCTTCATTCTTTGTTTAAATTGTTCTTACTTGTTAGAGTGAAGGGAGAATAGGCCGGTCATGCATGCTCTTGTTAAAGGAAGGTAAAAAAATCAGAACAAAAAAAGCGATTGAAATAAAGAACATCTTGAAAAACGATATTGTTAAGACTCTTGCAAATGAACAGTATGACGAAGATGTCTGAATTTTGACATTCGGCTTGACTTGACTTGCTCTGGCTTTGGGTTCAACAAGTGGGTTGTAACTTTTGCAAATTTAATATATGCTCGTTTACTAGTCTTAACTGGGGTATGAAGACATTCTCAAAGCAGAAAGACTTGTCAGATGTCAAAAAAAAGAAGAATTTTTAAAAAAGCCAAAGGCAGAGACCTGTTTATTCATACGGCATGTTATTCAATCCAATCCAACCTGGTCCAACATAAGGTGAAGCATTTTCAATGTTTGCGCTCTTCTTTTGTCTGAATCTTACACCCAAATAAACGATCTAAATATAGTTGATGATTTTATATTTCTCGATGAATTGTTATGGAATGTTTATATCTAAAGGTAAATTTGTACCAGCAATTTCGCCAAAATATTGATATAAACTGTTGAAATGCTCAATTGAAAGTGTAACCTTGATGTTTAGATCATTATCAGAATTAATTATACTTTTGGAGTTAGAGAAAATTTAATTTAGTTAGTGAAATCTTCCCAATATTTTTCTAAATGAGGATATGCTTGCACGGAAGTCCTCGAGAGGGTTGATTTGTTCAAGTGGAGGGATGTAAAAAAATCCGATGGCCCTCGTTAGGCAGTAAGTGGATATTTGTTTTGAAGAAATGCGGCGCGCTTTAGATCAAAGAGATCTTCCCAAATGCTACTTAATTATACTAGCTCGGTGGCAGTTGGGATATTTCAATGATTTCTTTGTCAAATTTAAATAAATTGCAATATTTCTACAATTAAGGCATGTCTATCTTTTACGGTTTGTTAAATGTGTACTCCAGGAAAAATAGATATAGTGTTAAGTAATTAAATTAAATTTAGTGATTAAATTATTAGTTTCAGTAAATCCGAACAATTTAAAGCAATTTGGTATAATCTACCAAAGAAACACAAACATATGTAAACTAATGTCAATGCCCTTTGGTCATGTTTCCTTCCATGATGATATTCATCCTCGCTAGCTTAAAGAGCTACAGAGATTTTTATGTAAATTATTTTACGCGGCAAAAAGTGGCAAAGCCCCTTTTCAGTATTGATGTCGGTGATGCGTTTAAGTTTGTCGCTTGCTAAGTAAAATATTATTGACGCCGATTAAAACCTAATTAAGAAAAAAGAGTCAACTAAAAATAACACTGAGGAGCAGGATTGGTGGCGATTAATTCGGTATTGCTGCACAAATTTGTAAGAGTCCCTCAATATCATCAAAGTTTCTGATTGGCCGATAGAGACTATATATATCGTGTTTATAAATCGAGTATCAAACCTGGCCATCTCCAGAAGACCTGAGGTGTGTAACGAGACAATTTTACGGACAACAGAAGATGAATTCTTTCCTCCTCGCCTTGACGGTAAGCAAAAAAGTTCATCACGTTCTTGTCGATTGTTTGTATGAAAACTTCAACTGCACTCTTCTACATTAGTATCAATCTATTTTTTGACACAAACTACATGGCTATGCACAATTGCTATCGATAGTTTGTGCTACATATTACCTATTCCACTTTAGATGAAAGCAGTTGTTTTCTTTTTTCAGTTTTGCGACGGTAGAGAATAGAGTTTTCTGATAACAGATTTTTCCATGCGAGACTCGTTTGAGTCCAGCCAGTCTCGTAACTCTTGAACTCAGTTCTTTGATCACTTATTTGCCAAACACGTACTTCCTTCAAAGCCGCTACAATCCAAATAACAATATAATTATAGACAATGCATTTTTTTTTCAGTCTCGCCTAACTTAAATCACTCATCATTTTTCTTTCTATCACAATATTTGAAATCTATCAATTTGTCATCGAGGCAATAAACAGCCCCTTTTCTTGTACAACTTTTTCCACGCATGCAGCGCGCGGAAACTTCATTCGCTCATGATCTGCTCACTTGTATTTTTTCAAGTGTAAAACAAAAAAAGTAAACTTAATTAAATGGTAACAACAATAATTTATCTGCCCAAAACTATCGAGGAATTTTCATTTACCAGAAGTTTTAATGCTCGTTTTTATATTACAACTGGGCAAGTTTTGTAAACTTTCTCTTCCTACCTTATGAATTTTGGCATGCCCATATCGTTATATGTATATCGCCATAAGGACTTCTGCTTTAATGGCTAAGCATTTTAGGTAGTTATTTATATTTTCTGGCAAAGAATTCAAATACAAAATTATAAAATGTAGTTTGGAAGAATGGTTTAAGGTAACGATTCTTGACTCTGACCTAAGTAATGCATTATATAGTAGATGTAACAGCACAACTTTTCCTTCCAGACACCATGTAGACTTCATTCCATAACTGTCAGCAATTCTAATGAAAACTTTCAAATTTTGGTAGGCGGTGATAACATTCACATGTACCGTAGAATCCGCACCACATCCTAATTTGGTGGATACGGATAATGATAATTTCCTTAAACACCAAGAACAAGGTATGAAATCACAAATGGAATTGAACCAATATAAAAACACGTGTTGCCTTGAGGTTACGTGTTTATTCTGTGTGTTAGATCATTGGACCCTTTTAAACCCAAAATCTGGTCAGTTTATCTCCCCTCAAATTTCTACAAAGTATTTGGGAGAGTTTTATTTCAAATCAAGATAACCCAGTCTTATGCAAAGTAACTTTACCCATACCTTTTGACTGCCTGTTGGTTTATGTTTGAAATTGATACTAAAGGTCGCATATGAATCATGTCTGAGTGTGATTGTAATTTGGCAGTGACAACACGTAGTTTTCAGCAAAACATTTTTTTTTTGTTTTTTTTGTTTTCTGGTTTTTGTTTTCAAGTTGTTATCAAAATGACACACAGGTAATGGCAAAACAAGGCAGCGTGAGTTTGTGATCCTTTCAAGTTTCTTCTTCCCAAATTATCCTTCTTTCTTCATTTTATAATTTTTTCTGTTACAATTCTTCGTCAAACTCGTTTTCCAGCTCCACTAGCTCCCACAGGCTTAAAATGTTACATTTGCTCCGAGAATTGTTCCACAACTCAGACTCCAGGTAATGGCTGCAGACCCGGCCGTAGCTGTTACTCCGTACATGCTTTTGATACCGCCCTGAACAAGTCTGTGACAAGAAAAGGATGTATTCCTGAATTCTTCTGCGCTCAGAACCGAGCATGCGTGTTTTTGAACCAATCTCGATCTGGTGCATTGAGATCGTGTTCTATCAGTTGCTGCAGTACTCCGTTATGTAATGGTCCACCTCTTCCGACGACTCAACCCATAACGACCACAGCACCACCACCGACGACACTCCCGACGACAGTTCCGACAACTGTGCCGACCACAGCACCAACTACAGCCCCAATTCTACCTGGTAATTATGAAACTAATCACCGGTTGAAAATTTTGTTTGCTGTAAATTATAAGATATCGGATGAGCATTTCTTGGCAGTTACATTGGCTTGTATTACAGTAACACTCCAAGTCGGAAAGGTTAAATGTTGATGCCCAAACCTTTTTTGTAGGTCGTATGGATTTCCGAATATTCCTTCACAATTCGTCCGTTTTGGGACTATTCAGTTAAAATTCAATATCGCAAATTTATTAATCAAAAGAGGAGGATCACGGATCAGTTATAAAAGAGGCATTAAAACAACCCTTTATAGAAACATTGCCGAAAATTCGAAATTATGGATACAGCATAAAATTCCTTAACTATCAAACACGCCACACAAATCTAAATGATTCTCTAGCCATCGAACTGAGTGCATGATAAACAAACTTTTGTTTTGATATTGTTTTTCTTTTATTGCACGACAATATTTTTAAGATATTGGAGATTATTTATTTCTGTTTTTCAGGGGTATGCGGAGGTCCACTTGCTCCTCCATCTGGATACTTTTCCTCTCCATTTTATCCACGCAGTTACCCCAACAATGCTAATTGCGTTTGGACGATTATGGTTCCACGCGGGTCTGTTTTAAAGATAGATTTTCTCGCCTTCGACACCGAAGAATGGTGAGTGAATAGATTTTTCTCGTTTTATTGCTTGAAACTCAATATATTTAGCCCTCTTTCATTTTCGTTAAATGTTTTCGGGGACCTTCTTGGCATATCCTAAATTCTCTAACAGACTAGCCTTAGCGTAAATGGATAAGCATAGAATTAGAGTAAAGAAATCCAAGGGGAAACGATCGTCGCCAAAAAAGTTTAACTGTGGGGATTTCAGAAAATTGAAATTAACTTTCAGGGAGGGGGGGAGGGAGAGGAATAAGAAAATTACAGTACCTTGTTTCGGACATCAAAATAAATTCTGTTGTGACACAACCCAAATCCTCTGACACCACGACCGCCCGGGTGATGAATAATGACCGGTACCTAAATGGAATGAGATAACTGAAGGACTTGGGTGCTCTAAAACCATTTTTATTTCATGTTATCTAATAGAGCCATTCACAGACTGTTGCATCATCTTCACAGTATGGTCTATTTTTTTCTACAGCTTTGATTCCCTTCATATATATGTGGGTAGAAGGTTGGTTCATCGTCTTTCCGGGGACGACGCTGACGATGATGATGATGATGATGATAGATTTGAGAAATGTGAGAAGGATGATAAAGATGACGGTGATGACGGAGAAGGTATATTTGGCTGGTACTTCAACCGAGATGAGGAGCTTGAAGATGAATCTGTCACTATTCAGGGAACAGGAGAGATGATAAGACTCGTTTTTGTGTCAGATTACAGCATTACCAAGAGAGGATTCTATGCTAAATATAGTGTAATGAAAGGTAATTTCATGTGGCGTAAATAAAGATTAAGCCTTCTAGATAAATGGTAAGAGTCTGAGTAGCACTTCGAACGGTATTTGAGGAACTTGCGTTAAATTTTGGACACCATCACAGATCAAACTGTTTTTTGAAGCAATCCTCAATGAACCGTAATTCATCAGCACCCACCGAGGGGTTGGATGCGATATTGCTAGGTTCATTATGTTTCGAGATTTTTATTTAAGCGAAGATTTCACATCAAACAGGTAGAAAAAAAATATTGTATTGTGTTTAGGAAAGTAAATATACACTGCATATTGTTAGGACTATTATCTTTTAGGTTTAACGGAGATTTGATATTATTGAAAGACCATATGCATTGTTTTATCCCTTGTCTGTAACTTCTGAGGGTGGATGTGCTGTTGGCACGAGACTTGAACATGTCCGTACGTTTCGGAATATTGACACATGCCATCGACTGAAGCACTAACACTGACATCATATCCTTGTGAATTACAAAATGAATTTCAAATTTCTTAAACTCTATGTTTAAACCAATGTTGAAAATTATGACCAGTTATCACTATCACCGTGGCCACTTATCGCTAATCATTTAGAAAAAATTCAACATTTTGTTTTTCCTTCGCATTAGCGATTTGTGGAGGCCCATTGGCGTTGCCATCCGGAACCTTCAGATCCCCTGGCTACCCTGGCAAGTATCCGGACGACGTTAAATGCATCTGGACAATTAGAGTTCCACCAGGATCTACACTGGAATTGGATTTTCGATTCTTCAAAACTGAAAAATGGTAAACATTAGTGCTCTAGCCTTGTTAGAGTGCCTCCCCCGTGTCGTGAGACCAAAAAAGAAAAAGAGGAAAATATAAAAAAAAAATAAGAGCAGTAAACGCGCATGAAAAAGACATGTTTGGTTTTAGAGATGCATTAGAGAGAGTGGCGTTAATTTTCTGAATGAATCATTAGGCGAAGTTCATTATAATCGTTCTCTCTTGGATTGTTTGGGCTGTCAATTGGATTCTCGGACTGTTAGCGACAATCGGCTGAGTTTCGAGAATTTAAAAAATTTAGAACCAAGTTGCTACTTCATTTAGAGCCGAACAAAAGTTTTTTTTGTTGTTTTTTTGTTTCACAGCGATGATTACCTCAAAATTTTTCAAGGGGGCCGCAAAATACGAAAACTAAGTGGTGTTTACAGATACAGCTTGTTTGGATGGGGGAATAATGATGACGACGATTGTGACGATGATGACAAGGATGGCGAAGATGGCGAAGAAGGTGAAGATGATGAATATGTTGGTGAAGATCGTTCCAAAAGGTTCGTCTTCCCACTACAGAGGTTTCCCTCTCCAGTAGGGAATCGTCTTGGTTTTCCAACGAGAGGCCGCATTGGCGCCCCATATGTTACACGAGTCCTTATTCCAGGAACGGGAGAGCTGATATCGATTGTCTTCAAATCCGATGACGACGATGTAACTGAAAAGGGTTTTGAAGCAATGTACCGTGTTAGACCAGGTGTGTTAATGTACACTGAAAGTTTCCTATTTTTTTATGCTTGGAATTGACTCTGTTTGTAACCATGGCACTTTCTATATTGCTGATCAAGTACACTCGTCATTAAGTTCTCAACAGCACTATAGTAGAGTATGGGAGAGGAAAATTATAACGTCGATTTATCTAAAGGGAGTAAGATGTTATCTTTAATATTTCGTTCGACATGCAAGGAAACACAACTATGTTTTCTTCTTTGAAGGTTTTACCATTGCTCGTACCCCTGCGATACGTCGCCTTCTTCCTGTATTTCTTTCCCTCAATGTCACTTCATCAAACATAAGAATTTCGTCCAGTTTAGATGAATGTTTAATTCGGTCTTTCGTATGATAGACTCTCTTTCCCCTTTTACTTCTTGATCCTTCAATATTTATCTGCATTAGTAAGAAAAATACGAGCTGAAGTAAATATACATTCAGTTGAAGATATAAGACAAGAAAAAATTAATTTCTTTCATCGTACATTTTATTATTTTCATCTCAAAATTCACTTACAAATCTTAATTTTAAACGAATTACCGATTCGCTGAATATCAAAATTTTTATTCATCCTTTCAAAAACCAGCAACTGAAGAAAAAACATTCAATTGAAGCTTCAAGTTCTATATTCTTGCTTTTGAATTGTAATTTGCAGTTATTAAATGTCATCTGTTCTCTATCTATTGCAGGGGCAGCTTTTCACGGTTGACCAGAAGACACGAAGGAAACAGAATTTGAAAGATGTTTTATCTGATCACAATTCTGGAATTACATCTCATCCTCTACTATTTCAGTAAAATTTTCTTATTCTTCGTATTTTTGCTGAAAGTACTAGATCTAATGTTGTAACTTGGTGTGGAAAGCCCATATCAAGATTGAGATCTCTTCACGTACATATAATTACTGTGGATCTTCTTAATAGTGGATCGAGTTCTATGTATTTCTTGCCAATTAACAATTGTACAACTATACAGTTTGTCACTTTTAGAGCTTTGACAACGCCACCTGGCGTGAAAATGATGCAGTTTGGGGCGAAGCTGTATAAGAACATATATATTTCTTTAATACAGGGGATTTCATTCTAGCAAAATTTTGCATTTCAACAATTAAACTTTACAAAAAAAAAAGTCAGTTTTGTATTTTTACTCACAGATTATAGCGTATCAGTATCCTCATTCAATACTAAACAATATAGAAATATCACCATCAGCCGTTATTCACAATAGTGGTGATTAAGCACCTCAGACAGACAACACAGATTCAATTTTAAATCAAATCCCAACACGTATTGTATGTCTAAAAAGCCAAAAGGAGTTAGAAATTCTTATAAGAATATTTTATTTTCAGTCGGTATTTTGTTGACGCATAAAAGTATTTACTTAATCAATGATATTTTACTTAAGGGTAGCGTCAGTGAACGACTTACATCCAATTGGAGTTGTCTTAGCTAAACCGCAACAATTCACGTGACTCTTCTCCCGGTCAATATTATATAAAGAGATCATGCAATCACTGTTAATACGAAGAATTTTATTTGCTGACGGAGCCGGAACATGCTGTTAATTTGAGGAAACAGAAAGTTTGGGAAGAGACGTAAAAACCAAATTGATATGAAGAAAATCCTGCTTGTCCTGGTAAGGTTCTCATCGCTTAGGACACGTTATTTTCTGTGTATCATTGAGCCTATTAGCTCGTACAATAATCATTCGTACCTGGGTAAAACAGTTTTGAACTTAGGCATAATTGCCTTTGAGAAAGGAAATGGCGCCATTCAATATTTTCAGTATAAAAAATCATACCCCCAACCAGGTCCCGCATTACACATAGATGAAACAAGGGTGTAAGGTTCTAAAGAAACTGTGGGACTGGGTCTGAGAGTACTGTAAGTCAATTTGGTTTTGTCAGCTGAGTTGATGATGTAAAATGGCCACCGTAAAGAAAGCAGCTGACGTTTCGAGCTTTACTCCTTCGTCAGAGCAAATGAATTTCAAATGAAATCTCTCTGAAAAAGGACTAGAGTTCAAAACAAAAACTTTAGAATCTGCTTGCGGTGGCCAATTTGCATCATCACCTCAGCTGAAAAAAATTAGTTAGCCATCACTGATACAGCGACGTATGATTGAGTATTTTCATTACCGAGACTAGTGCTGCTGGATCTATCAGTTTGTGGGAAACTGGAATCATTTGCGCCCACTGAGCGGCTTGAAAATGAAATTTTATGGATAGCCCATCTAGAAAATGAAGGGGAAAAAAGCTATCCATATTACTTCTTTTAACTGGTTCAAAAACAGTCCCTCGTTTAAAACACATTTATGTTTCACGATGCCTATATAAGTTGTTTATCCAATGGTATTGCACTTAATGATTAAACTCCCTTTTCCTTATATTGAATGTCAATATACCTATTCCCTCCACCGACAAAACTTTTGTGACCACTTTGACTAAATGCGCTCATCTAAAGTTACATAAATAGAGTTAGTCAAAAATCATTTGATGATTCTTTGGAAATTTTAAAACTCCGGCGGACGACACAAAGAAAAGTGGAGCATAGAAAGCCATTATTCTGCTCTATAGCAGAGATCAGTACAAGTCATTGTGATGAATTAACTGTGTGCCAATGTAGTTGTAAGATTATGGATAGTTTTGTGCGCACATTTGTATCCACATGTCTAGCGGCCAAGTACAGTGAAGCTGACAGAAGATTTTTAATTTAAACGCGTGTAGCTTGGTCGCAACATCAATATCCCCATATGCATGCCCATCATGATCACAATGAAAATTCAATTTTGTAGCAATTTTGTAGCATTGTAGTCGAAGCTACTCTCAGTTTGCACATCAATGAAACATTAACTAAAATCTTAAGCTTTGGACTCCTTAAAATTGTTTCTGAGTATGACTGTTTCCGATGTAAACGACACTGGTTATGTTGTTAATGTGATTTCAGTCTTCTTATATTTTCTTCTCACAGGAGTTGGAAATAAAAAACCAAAACTTTCTACATAAATGCTCAAGCTTTTACTTTGACTATGTAATGTTGGATTGGATGTAGATTCACTCGGTTCCGGTCGCGATTTTATGTAAATCGTTTTTGCCTACACCGATTAAGAAACTGATGCATTATGGCACGACGTTAAGAAACGCAAAAGGGCAATAACTGTGAAAATTTTTTGGCTAAATAAAAAGCTCAAAACAAAACATGACGGCTCCATAGGGAGAAACGGTTACTAAGTAGCATGAGCGGTCACCAAACAGATTCTCTCTTAGAGATTTTATGTTGTGTTAGGTTTGATGCAAGAAATAAGATGTAAAGAGGTAGTTTGAACCGGGGAATTACTTTTGATCTTGTGGTCTGATCGCCTAGGTGAGAGTAGTCTTGTGAAGGACTGATGTCGGTAGTAGTGACTGACGCATTGAGTTCGACAACATTAGCGCAAGTAATCACCAGAGACGAGGGCTCTCGTGCGCCACTTAAATTCTTTGTTCTTCTATTTTTTTTTCTTATTCCACTGAAGTGTTTATCATATTGCTAGTTTAATAATAACTTGAGATGATACGTTTTGGTAGATGCTGATGACATCATATTCAGCGGAAGGTGACTCAGTGCACGCTTCCATTCATAACTGGACAACTGATCTCGAGGACCTGGAGCTGAAAACCTTGCTACAAATTCAAGAACAAGGTAGAAAGTACGACAGATTCATGTATTCTTGGGCATCAAGTTTAAGTGTATTTCTGATCGTGTTGATCGATTAAGAGGCTAATTTGCTCCTTCCCAGCTCTTTTGAAACACAAATAATTCTGCATTGAACATACTTAACCATCCTTAAAAAAAAACAGTGATGATTACATAAAAACGTATGTTTCTTTTGATCCTTAACTCAAAAGATCCAACAGAAAAAGAAGAAAATTTATCCCAGCCACAAGTAAAGCAAACATAGCATTCTCACCCTCAATTTGGCACAATATTTTTTTGGACCTGTTTGTTGTCGTTGTTGTACAAGGGAAGACAGGCAGTAAATGTTAGTCTGTTGTCACGTCTTGTTCGAGTAAGCCTGCTCTTTCTCTCTTTAACTCAAATCCAACACCTCTTTCAGCTCCTATGCGTCTTAGATGTCACGTTTGTTTAGAACCCGTTTCATTGGAGAATTGCACAACTGCAGAAACACTGCGACTTTGCGAAAGAGGCTTTCGCTGCTACAACCTACAGGCATTTGACACTGCTCGGAACGCCCACATCTTTGCTAAAGGATGTCTTCAAAGTATTCTTTGCGCTCAAAATCGTGGATGTGATTTCCTTAACTTATCTCGTAATGGTTCCATTGGGTTCTGTTCGTTGGAATGCTGTCATACACAAGAGTGCAATGCTCAACCGAGGGTTTCATCTACAGCTCCACCACCACCGATGATCACAGAACGACCTTCAACTGCAGGGTCAGTTCCTGTGACTCCATCAGGTAAATTCGTCAAGTGCAAGCAGCAGTTTCATCTGCTGTATACTGTAGATGAAGAATAATGGAAGCATCTCATGCATGCAAACAGCATCAAACAAGAGAGAAGATTTAGTGAAAGGTTTTGGTAAAATTTGAAACGACACCATCAATTGCGTCAGTATTCAAATCTTTCAGTTCTGCCCTTGATATTACCATGGTTAAATTCTGAAAATAGTTGAGTTTTAAAAAGCGCAGGCTTTCAATTCTTACGTTTTAACCTGTCAAATATCATTGCTTAACATGTTAAAAATTATTAGAATACTGCAAAACCACGTTATATTTTTACTTAATTGTCACGATATAATACTCTAAGAGTTCATAGACAGACAGAAAAATGAAAAGTGATATGAGATTTCACGTTTTTCCTATTTCGACGATCGTTTGTTTCTCCTTTCGTCATCTCAGCTTCGGTTTTCGCTTGTTTACCATTCATTCGCTGTTTCTTCAAAAATTGATAGCCTGAATTCACACGTTTCAATGAACAGGCAAATGCGGTGGTTCGCTATCTGCTTCATCTGGGAACTTTGCATCTCCAAATTATCCCAGTAAGTACCCCGACAATGCTGACTGCATCTGGATCATTCCTGTACCAAAAGGATCAACGTTAAAGATACAATTCGTTTACTTTTATATGGAGCGAAGGTTAGTCATAATTTATTTTCTGAAATAAATAGTGGAGGGGGACTCCGACAAGGAAAAATGGCGAAGCAGCGTTTTCGAATGACCATAATTGACCTTAGCTTCCGCGTTGGCACTTTTAATAATAAACGTATTTCTTGAGATTAATTAAGAGGAGATCTTGAGAAAACTGTTATTTCTAAACTGTTTTTTCTTTGTAATATTTACCTTTTTTAAAACGCTTTCACCGAAACGTGTCAAAAATACCGTTCCTAACTGTGATTTAACGCGAGTTATAAGCATTGCTTTTATTATTTTGCCAATCTTTTTGTAGATATGATTATGTAAAAATCTCTATGGGCCGACGACTGCTTCGCCGTTTGACTGGAAGTCCTCGAAAAAGGGATAAGGTGATTTCCATAAAAGGAACTAGCGAGGTGGTTCGCGTTGCTTTCAAATCTGACCGCAGCGTTTCGAAGAGAGGGTTCTTTGCCAAATACAATGTGATGAAAGGTGACTCACTCTAAACATTCTATATCAAAATCAATCTGTTAAATGGGGCACCTTGACGCTATAAGAACCAATAATTATCTTAACCTCTGAGTTAACAACAACGCCCTAAATGTCCCCTTATTTTCTCCTACATCACAGTATCGTGTTTTGAAAAGTAAATTTTTTATCTCTAATCACCTATTGTGCGAGAAGCTTTGCAGAGGTTTTATTTATTCTTCTACATCCATCCAACCTTGTTCAGTAGATTAATACTGTTCATGATAATGATAGTTATGTCATTAGTAGGAACCGAACCTGGGAATAAGTTCAACCGTCCCCTGGTATTCCATTTCATCAAAGCAAGTCATATAAACCCTCTCGATTGATAATAGTAATAGGACTTATTGGAGTCGAATTTGGTCTGTAATCTTACGAGTGATTGGCAAAGTCGGACGACCGCGAAGCCGGAATCCGGTTTCTTAATCACGACTATGATTACAGACAGAATTGGACGACACGAAGTCTTGTTACCAATTAATCAAAACTATGACAAAATTTGAGAAAGAAACTAGACGTAGGTTATACATTTTCACAAAAAACACAAAGTTAACTCAGTTAAATGCCTTCTGATGAGACAAACCGCACGCACATGACATGACGTGTTAACTGTCTCTTAGCTGTTCTATTACACTGTTCAATTACAAGCATGACGCGTGTACTATTCTATTAGTGCTCAAATCGGGCTGGTGATAACCAATCACGTTCGAGAATTTTGTTATAGTTTTGATTAACGTTTAAATTTACATTCATTTCAGCACGCAGCTGTGGAGGAACTTTACCTGGTTCCTCTGGTAGCTTCAAATCTCCAAATTACCCTGCAAACTATCCAAACGACGTCCACTGCAAATGGACCATACATGTCCCGCGTGGAGCACTGCTTAGACTGAATTTTCGAACCTTCGAAACTGAACGCTGGTAAGTAATAAGAAATAATGGATACCGATTGAGGGCATGTTTTAAGTCACTCATCTTAACGTTTGTGTTTGATTTCATTTCAGTAATGATTACGTAAAGATATACCGAGGTCGTCGCTTGATTCGTCGACTGACGGGTCGATATGATCGCAACGGCAGGTACAGAGGCGGAGATGATACAAGATCTGTGTTTCAGTATGATGATGATTGTGGCGATGATGATGACGATGACGACGACGACGACAACGACGACGATGATGATGATGACGACGACGACGACGATGATGATGATGACGACGACGACGACGATGATGATGAACGCGACAAGGATGATGATATTGACGACTATAATGATGCTATAGATGACGATGATAGTAATATCCTACACGAAAATCCTGATGATGCTGTTAGCTTTTCAAAGAGGAAGTATAGTAGATATAACCGTGTCCAACGAGCAAAGAATCGCTATAGGTCCAGGATAAGAAATCGCAAAGGATCCCGAATGAGAGGCCATCAGCACTTCTTGTATGTAACTCGGATTCGGGGAACGGGCGAGAAGATATCGATTATATTTAAAGCAGATCGACGAAATACCGGAAAGGGCTTTTATACAACGTATTATGTTTCAAAAGGTAGTGAAAAATAAGTAATTTAATTACTCAACTCCAATGAATTTTTGAATACATTCTACCAAAATACACCATACAGAAATCTTTATCAATAATATAGAGCAGGAAAGCTGCTGACCTATTGTTATTTAATATTACCTAATATCAATAATCTTTTTCACATGTTTATCATTGAGGTTAATAATACTTATTTGCAATGATAATAAGCCGGAGTGGAGTCCAGTTAATAATAGTAATTGAACTGAGTGGAGTGCAATTTGGGCTGAAATCACAAGTATGATTTCAGGTCAAAAGTGCACGACACTAGGTTCAATTATCCCTTTATTACATCCATTTTGAAATCGCCCAAATACAGGAATTGGTCAGTTCAAATATTTTATTGATGTAGTACTGAGCCGGTCTGAAATTAAATTCATCCATTTTTTGGGAGAAAAAGTAAATTTTTGGAAACAAAATTTGCAAAATTTGGCACATGATGCTCTTTGTCTTTTATTTTCCTGCAATCGGTTACTTTAAATAAGCCTTGAAATCTGATTGGTTGTTTTGTTTTTAGAGTAGCCTCCTCATTGACTGGAAAGAAGGTGCGATTTAAAGCAAAAAATGGTGCGATTCGTAAATAAATCGCATCAATTAGAGCCAATTAGATTACAGGGACCACCAGTGTTTTCAAAATGGGTGTAATGAGGCCTGTAATCATAGGAGTGAAAGGAGAAATCGAACGAACGCGAAGCACGGAATCCGATTTTTTAATCGTTACAGACAAAACCAACCACGTTCGAAAATTTTGTTACGGCTCTGATTAAAATTGAAATACTGATGAAATCATTTTCTTCAAATTTCTCATAGTTCATTCAGGCCGTTGAGTGGTCGATTCCTCGGAAAAGTGAATCCTCTGGAGGTTTGCAGATGGTGTTGTCAGTATCAAGCTGATTTTCGTTTACTTTAGGTTTCCATCTAATTTACTGTATGATTTCATTTTAGCTTCAAAAAAACAAAAAAAAGAAAATAAATATTTCTAGTCCTTTATGAGAATTTCTCCAAGGTATCATGTAACTGATCCGAATGTTTTCTACTTACTTTTCTGCATATGTCTGTGCTTGAATTGGCCATGGATAAAAATGTGAGCCAGAATGCAATTCGCCTTTTCTACAAATTTTCAATTTTCTCCTCCTTTCCTTTGGCCTATTTTTCCTTAATTATCCTTCGGTTTCAGGTCATGAAAACGATAAATTACCCTTATAATAAACAGATTAGAGTTCAAATTAATTACTCAACATTACATATGATATGGTATTCATTAGGCAAAATGCGAAACACCTTTAAGAGACCTAGTCAATTACCTAGGATGAAAAATAACTCTGTTCTACAAATGTCTTATTTAACAAACTGTGATTTTCATACAAACACAAACAGCTAGCTTTAAAAGCTCATCGTTTCATATAGTACCGGTCTACTCAATGCTGTTATGAGTAATCGATGTCTTTCGATAAGTTTGGTTCAAACAGAATTTTCATTAAAGGGAGGGTGATATTTCCTACCTATTTTAATACGATTAATTTAACACTTGCACAACTCCTTTTTCCATGTTATTCGTACATTTAACAAATGGACTCCTTGTTGCTGTGCCAAGGATGTACTTGACACATTTTGATGTATTTTGTGATCTATTCCTGAACGGAACCACGACAACATGAATTCCATTTGTTTTATCTTATGACGAAGCAAACAACTGTTAATTGCGATGTCATTTATGTGTTTGTCCTCCAAAACAACATAAGTATAAACCAATCAAAATGTGTGCATCAATTCAGCTGCTTATATAGATGTCTTTTGTTATGTTTATTTTCCGATAAACCCACGAATTTACTTTCATCCATTATTAGTTCGTTCGCATTGGCTAAATGAAGAGAAGAGACGGTAAACATTTAGTAACCGGATTACAAAGTTTACACTGGAGAAAACCGAATAATTGAGAGAGAGCTCATAGTCATATGAATGTTGTCTTGGCCTCCCAGGATTGTTTCTTTGTTTTGAACTGCTTTGCAGGATGATCAACTTTACTGAGAAATTGAAGGACGAAGAAGACAACTTAAACGAATACAAGAGAATCATTCTCATTATTAATGGATCCTTCTCGATTTTTCTCGCAACATTCATCTGTGTCGTAAACGCTGTTATCATCTTTGCAACTGCCAGACATCCTTTGCCTGCAGTTAAAGTAATCGATCAAATCCACAAGGCTTTCTTCTACGCTAACATTCTGGATGCTACATTATTTCTACCATATTTTGGTTTCGCTGAACTTTTACATGGTCTTGGTATTAGCGAGAAGAAAGATCTTTTTCCGAGCTATTTATCTTCAGCGTTCCTCGTTTTCGCGCAATCTAAAGTGCAAGTCACCTTCATCATTTTAATTGAGCGCGGAGCTGCTTTTAATTCTCCCCATTTCCATCGCCGAATAACAAAAAATAATAGAATTTTCATGGTGTTACTGACTGTAGTGTTATTCTCGTTGCTTTTCGTCGGACTATCTTTTGCAGGGATGAAAGAAACCGTCTACTTCAGCATTCATATTCATCTCTTCTTTACCGCGCCGCTTTTGTTTATTCTCGTTACGACTTTCGTCACTTACTGGAAGCTGAAAAATAGAAACCGAATTGTGAGTAGCGAGATTCCTCCGTCTATGGAACAGTTGGAATTCCACAAGAAACGGAGCGTGCGCTCAGCCAGAAGATATTTGATCGTCATAGCCTCACTCATGATACCGATGTTTCTATGTATTTTGCCGTGGTATGTTGTCACACTCGTTAAAGTGAACGCCAACCACGTTTATTTAACAAACAATTTAAGGTTTCTCTGGCAAAGATTTTCCATAACGCTATTGTTTCTACCAGATGTTATTGGCCCCATAACTCTCACCCTTCGTTTTAAAACATATTATAACTCAGTTAAAAGCCTTCTACGAAGATAACAATTCATCGCAGTATGAATGATTTTGCTTCTCTTAAATGATCATTAAGAACTTGCACAGAACCACTCGTTTTAATTCTATCATTGCTTCCTTGAAAATTTCCGTTCTTTCTTTCGTGAAAGGATCTCCGCATTCGTGAGAGATTTTCCCCCATTCGGGAGTCTGATTAATAATATTGATAGAGATGCCAACCTTGCCGCATCAGCTTCATTCCTTTGTTAGAGATTGAAAATCAAAAACGATGGCTGTTTTTGTTTTCAAAATATCTAAAATACAGACTTGGTAGGTAGTGATGGCGCCAATTCATTTGAAAGGAGGGAACATGTCTGTTCTCTTCAAGAGCTTTTATTTGATTTATGGATCGACAGTCAGAGAACAAACCAGGGAAAAATTACAATTTAAATATTGAGGGTTAAGACAGATGTTGGGAGATAATTTTTTAACAGGTTAGTGAAAGGGATTGGCCCTTTACAATGATGAAATAATCCATCAAAACATGAAGCTTAATTCCACTTAGAAAAGAAAAACACATCGCTTTTTGTTATCGTTCATAGAAGGTCCTTGACTGGACATTCATTTTTGACTTTTGGAATTGATATCGATCGTTTGTATTTTCAACAAAAGCCACCTTGAAGGGAAAGACGAAGACATCAGACTCAGTTCTAAAAATTATCATATTGCTTCTGATTTAGTGATAAAACTAAATATATTGGTAAAACAGATAAGAAACATTCAAAGCGAAGCATGGATAACCCATGATTGTTCGTTATTTTTTTACATCTCTCGCCGTGGGGAGAATCCCTTACATGGAATTTTACATGCTATACGCCACTAACTAGATTTACGGGCAGATGACATTCGAAACATAAAATTATTGTGTGACCCCTGCTGGTTGTTAGGAGGGACTATTGTATTGAGACAAGCGATTAGTTTATAATCTCCTTATGGAGGTCGATAAACCTTAGCCAGTTCACCATTGCACAGGATAAAAATAACCCTTTCCATTGATCTGATTCATTTTATCTCATTTCTTTCATTTTATTTTACTTTTGGTTGCAGATTCAAAATAAATTTGAAACAAACATTGATAGTAAAAATAGATAACTAAACTTCCTAGTGTCCAGAAACAAATTAAACTGCAGACGCGAGGCTCAGAAGCTGACAATACTTTGTTTACTAAGCTTTTTATTTTTAATTTTAAACATGTGTGGTTTTTCCCATCTCCTTAATTCTGGCGTACAAATGCTATTCAAACGGCTATTGCAGCTACAAAATTTACATCATGAATCGCCATGATGTTGATGCAATGAATGTGGAGGTTAAAATGGATGGACTTGGGTTGATTTATACCACAAATTGTACCTTCTTATAGAAAATAATGAGGGCCAAGGAAAGATAAAACTTTTGGTTGAAATGGAGTTTTATTAGCACAAACGGATTCTGGTCAATTCAAGTCTTCATTAAGGAATTTATTTCTTATGCTTCACAGATTGACGTATTTACTTTTCGTATGTAAACATTTAAAATTCACCCAGAAAACGGTATAGTGATCTCGACAGTAATTTAATTGATCGAAGTTTCAGGGATACAGACTACTGAATTTTGTGTGTCAAGTAATTTCTCGTTAGATCTACTGTAAGTCTCGCTAACCGAAGAAAAAATTTCAAAGACCTTTGCAATGAGAATTTTATTTAAATAGACATAATATATTCAGATTTTCACCAAATACTGCTTTTTGAAACTGTCATAACTTACAGCAGATGCCATTTCGGTAATGAACATCGCCTCCGAACTCTCAAAAAAACATTTAGAGGCTTGAAAAGCACTGAAGGTTTCAGTCAAACAAAATCACTTCGCCATGGGATTCCATGCCACGGTTTTGCTTGTAAATGGAGCGATTTCAGTTGTTTTTGCTTCAGTGGCATTGGTGGGAAGTACAATCATGATCATCGCAGTTGTGAGGAATCCTTTAAATGTGATTAGAAAACCATAATCCATAGCATCGAAGATACTGGTCTCGTGCTTTCTTTCTTGGTCGGTACAGTTCTTCTTCCGTATTTTGGCGTATTTTTGGCGAGATTCTTCAAGGCGTAAAAAATAAGTCAGATTCACTTGATTTTCCTAGCGTCATTTTACTGTTTACGGATTTTTTGATCGCTTCCAAGTTAGCACTCCAATTGGGCATCAACATTGAAAGGCATCTGGCGTACGTGCACCCGCAATTTCACCGAGCAAAAGTTACCAATCAAGCAACTTTTTTTACCACTCTTTTGTGTGTTACATTTTTCTTCCTGTTTTCGTGTTTGTCTTTCTCAGGAATAGATGAAAAGATATACTACATCGTCTCTCTCCACGTGTGTTGCACTTGTTCGTGGTTCTTGTTCGTTTTGGTGAGCTGGTTAACCTACCTAAAACTCAAGAACAGGGCAAACAGCATGAGGACAGCACCAGCTGAACCAAACCAGTTGCCCCAAGCACGAGAAAAAGCTGATTTTGATAGAGCCAGAAACGTATTAGCTGCTAAAAGACATTTACAAAAGCTCGCCAAGAACTATATGCCTCTGGTAATTTCAATTATTCCGTGGTACATAATAGAATGCGTGGCTATCGCTTGCAAAATTTGTTTGGAAAACAAGGCAGGGTTTCTATCGCAGCGTATTACTATACCCCTGGCTTTTGTTACCGATGTTTATTACCCGGTGTGGAGGATTTTCAACGGAAAATACAGCAATACCGTCAGATATATTTTATGTGGTAACTGATCTAATTAATTGGGGGATGCACGTATGATGATCATTAGTTTCCGATGATCAGTTGTTCTCTGATATTTGTATGAAAAAATTCATGCACATAGGACCTTCCATTAAGAAAGCTAAATAGATGATAACTAAAATAAAATATTTACAGATAAAATTTGCATGCAATTTAGTAGAGGTAACAACATGATTGTCCTTGAAAAATTTACTCGTGCTCATTAACACCAAATTGTACGAGAAATCATTCTGTTACTTTTTAATAATTTACGTAAAAAACGATCATACAAAGTCAAGACTGACGAAATTTTGGCAGCGCGCGCTATTTTTAATTTGCACTCGTGTTACATGAAAAATCCACTCGTTTTCAGCCCATCAGACGGGCGTAATTTTTTCCTGTATATTATTGCGCACTTTAACCCTTTAACTCCAAAGATCTCATTAGTAATTCTCCTAACTGTCTGCCATATAGCTCTACTGATGTTAGTTTGGAGAATTTGGTATTGGATCAACTGGTAATCCCCTTATTGATATTTTTATTCATTCACATTACTTGTTTTCATGATATTGTATTGATATTGTTAAGAGAAATTACGTTTTGGTCACTCATGGGAGTTAAAGGGTTAAAGACAGTTAATTATGAGATTTCATTTTCATAATTCAAAACTGTTAGAGACTCATCGCTAGCGATAGACCGAGCAAAAGCAAATCTATTTTTTCTTGTGGAATAGCATTTGCTCAATTGTTTCCATTAATGGATTACATTTCATTACACTTTCTTTATTTGTATTGCGAGGAAAATTACAAAGAGCTTTAGCTTCCATTATCAAATTTTATATCAGTAATCTCTCTTAAATACATCTTAAAAGATATGATGGTTATCACATTTGAACGTCTAAAATTCATAACTGTGAGATTTTTACTTTCTGATGTTGGTCGCTTATTTAGTTCAGTTCAAATTGGCCTAATTTTAGACGTCGGTCTTGACTGTTCTGTTCTCGTTGGACAATTCACTCAGATTAATGTGAGTAAAAATTGAAGTTTTACATTTGTATGGAGGAGTTCTTAGCTATGTTTTGAAAGTATTGCATAGTGAACTTGAGCAAAATTAAGTAATTAGTACCTGCTTTGTTGTTTAAGTTGTTTCATTGAATAGTGTACCTGTTTTGTGAATTATTAAACAGGAGAATTCATCTCATTTCTGAATGCATATCGACTGTATTGCCACATTTTCTGTCCATTCCTGTTAAAATTGAACAACTCACTAAATTATATCTTATATTCTTTCTTCACTTTCGTGTGCAAGGGAAGTCTGCAACGCTTTGCCAACAGAAAAAAACATTTTCCTGACGTTGAGGTAAATAATAATTATACCCCCCAAACTTAATAATCTCAAAGTATCCCCGCGTTTTGGGTATTCCCGAGTATCCCCGATTTCGTTTTACTGAAAGTGAACTAAACAAGAGACTGGGGTGAGTAACATGGTGTCCAATGTTGACTCATCGTGAAGTACAAAAATTGCTTTCTGAAGTCAATTGCTCTTCTATCTAAGTAACACCAGAAATGTCCGTCACTACTGGGTTTGAGAAAAAGAGCGATCAGTCAGATGATTTTGGTCAATTGCTTCCATAAAGTCGGACACCGAATCCGCTGAAAAGAGAGATCTTGGTACTGAATAACCAAATTTACCAAAAAGGAAATTTCATAGTTCGGTTCACCATAAGAAAATGATAATTATGAAAATCATTGCAAAAATTGTTCTTATCAGAAGCCTGCGTAGGCTTCTACCAATGATTTAAAGCTACATCTACGTTCATTCAAATGATTTATTTTCAAAATTTTGACAGAGAAAATCGATTGTTGTTCAGCAACTGTTCATTTGCCACAAGCTTTTTATACCTTGCCGAAATGATTTTAACAAATTTAGTCTTTCACCTACCGAAAGAAAGCTGATAAAACATTTTGAATTAATGTAAGTATACTCTGTCAAAATTATGTAAATGTTATATTTTCCATCGAGAAAAAGACAGATCTCTTCAAAATGGAAAAACGAACTCAAAGTCTCTTGCCATACGTTGCTAAGCAAATATTCTCAGCTCTTTTGAAAATGGACCTTGGATTTGACAAGTGATTGACTTAGCTCCCGACGTAAACAGATCTCCCGCTAAGGAAAAGAAAAGAAAATTTTTTTTTTGTAGCTTGTTGAGTGAACGTTTGAAAAACTACAGAAACTGTTAATAATTAAATTTGCCTGATCAGTTTTTTTGTTAAAGGTCGTATTTGATGGCTTTTCGTCGGAAAAGTTAATTTCCTATGCACTAATTACATTTCATAGACACTCCATTAATAACAACCGGGAAACATTAAAAAATATATTTGCTACTATCCATAATTTCATGCATGTACAGATGTAATATATTCAATAATTTTTCAAACTCGCAGTTCTCGCTGTCATGTCCATAAGCAGATGGTTACATACTGTCAATAAAGATCCCTAACACGTAATTACAATATTTGATCATGAGGGTTCGATGAAAAGGCAAAAAAAAAACTCGCTTAGCTGAGAAATGTGGTTCTTGTCCTCAGTTTTACTGGCAAATGGCATACTATTGCTAATTTTGGCGTCAGTAACATCGGCAGGATGTTTAATCATGGGTATAGCAATTGTGAGGAATCCGTTGAATGTGACTCGTAAAGCGATCCACTGTATCGAACATGTCGGTTTAGCGCTTTCGCTTTTAGCTGGGATGGTTCTACTACCTTATTTCGGAGTCACTGAGATTCTTCAAGGCGTGAACAACAACGCTGGATCATCCGATTTTCCAAGCTTCATATCAGTGCTAACGGATTTCCTAATCGCTTCAAAGCTTGCTATTTACTTAATTGTCTGCATCGAGAGATGTATTGCGTACAGATGTCCTCATTTTCACCGCGCAAAAGTTACAAAACGCTCAACCTTAGGGGTTTCTATTCTCTCGGTGACATTCTGTTTCTTTGTCTCCTGTCTATCTTTCTCAGGAATCGACGAAAAGAGTTATTACAACGTCTTCATACACTTGTTTTGCTCTTCTTCGTGGGTGGTGTTTCTTTTCGTTACCTGGTTAACATACCGAAAACTCAAGAACAGAACCAGAATTGCGCCGAATGAATCAGTCCAATTACCCCAAATAAGAGAAAAGGCTGAATTTGAAAAAGCCCGCAACGCCTCGATTGCTAAGAAATATGTTCAAAAAGCGGCAAAGTTTTACATGCCAGTTTTCTTTACAGTTTTACCTTGGTACGTCGTAAAATGTACTAAAGCTGTGTGCGAGGTTTGTATGACGGCCGAGGCAGGATTTTTCTGGCAAAGATTCAGCATCTCGATTGCGTTTTCAACTGACGCCTATTATCCCCTGACATTTTACCGGGAATACGGTAAAACGGTAAAGTACATTTTCTGCAATCGATGATTTCTGCGACTCGGTAATAATATACGATATTGACAATAACGTGACATGCACAGAGTAGCCAGGTGGTGAGAATAATGTAATATCTTGAATATAAGTGCCTTGTATCTTCGTGGAAATCACCCCTCCTTTGCTAATATTGTGAACTGGCTGCGTCACTTTCTAAAGAGAACTGAGATGAAAATAAGACAAGCTGATCCTAGCGATATGCAGGATGCGTGTCATTAGAACTTCGTAACAGACCCCGCTCACCGAAGAGTCTTTGTGGCTCAGTGGTAGAGCGCAAATCCGAAGGTCTGAGGTTTGATTCCTCATGGGGACTCAGAATTTTTCTTTGTCCCACGTTCGTGACAAGACGAAAAAACATCTTAACTATAGTACAGTTTCAAATCAACAAAAAATGTTCAAGTTTGTTCAAGATTAAATAACTACTTATAGGTTGGTGCATACCAAAAGTTTTGTTCAATTTTGTTCAGACTTTTGGTTGCCTCTTTGTAATTTTTCAGCATCTTTCATATTTCTTCCTGGAAGCTTAGATTAGTTTGCGTTCGACATTATTCGTAAGTTTCATGAGTTAAATATGGCATATACACATGTTTGAATTACGCCGAAGGTGAATGTATGTTTGTGCCATGAATGAAAAGAAAGGCTTATCAATGAGAGACTTTCGGCTCGATCACCTTCCTTGTTCCCAAAACGTCACTGCACTGATGATGAAGCTAACTGTCATCTTCTTACCCAAGGTAGGACGAAAGTTTCCGTCTCAGTAATACATTTTCTGTTTCTTTAGAGTCTTGTCTCGTGTTTTCACGAACTTTACCGAAACACACAGCTATAACACATTTTTGAGAATTCTAACTCGATTGCAATGCTGTGTAGATATATGCATCCACAATAGAGACTGGGCCAATATATTTTTCCGGCCTCGAATATTCAGCCGAAAAAAGCAAATTGCCACTAACACCACTATTAAAAGTCACTCAAATTTTGACAATGAATTAATCCGAAAGTTTGCGAAAACAATGTGCAAGTTTTGCTCGTCCCACTGTCATTCCTTCTGTACAATGCTAGCTTCTGTCCAACTAATTATCGAGTAATATGTGTCCAAAGGTTTTTTAAGCTACATTCTAAATTAACAAGACGTAAAACCTTGTAATATCAGTTTAATTTACTCCGCACGAAAATACGATCGACAGCATTGGGTACGTGACAAAACTTCACACACATCCGTATTGTAAACAATATCTATTGCGGTTCAAAATATCTACCAATTCAATCACTCTGCCGACGCGACTGGTTTTGCGACACAACTGTCGTTGTATGCTTATTCATCAATTCACTTGATACGATTTCCCATTGCGTATTATGGATCATTTAATCATTTGCAGATTTGTTTAGAGTTTGACTTGCAAACTTTTTCAAAAAACCCTCTGCTGGATTTCAGTTGAGGTATTTCATTGGCTACCTGATAAAGTTTCTATGTAACATACGTTCTGGAAAAAGCGTGCTTTATCAGATTACGGATGAAAGGAGTACCGGTGTCACGCTATCGACCAATTTGTGCCATGGCCGACCATTTCTCCGGCTTCTCTCTAATTTTTTTTTGAGCCAAAGGTCTTGCATGAAACCAAAGAACGAACTTGAAAACGGACCCTCGGCTGCAATTAATCGGAGCAACCTATAAGTAACATTAAAGATTAATAATAATAACAATAATAATAATAATAGTAATAATGGGAATCTAGTGGTGAGTATTCCACGAGGTCTCACGAGGAAGTGGTTCTTCTTGTCCAGGTCGAACTGAAATTTGGAATGTTGGTAGGAACCCAGAAAAAAATCGTCGGTGCCAGGACGAGAACCAACAACGAACCTACAAATGACACCAGGTCCGGGAATCAAACCCGGGCTACAGTGGTGGATGACGAAAGCTCTCACCACTGCGCTAGCCTTGCTCCCTTCCACGGAGATAGAAAGTGAAATTTGGGAACAAGCTAACGATGAACAAAACTAGCCGGCCAAGCAGGTAGCGACAGAAGAAACAAACAATGTTTTGTTAACATACCAAGCGCCAAAATTGGCGAAATTATGACGCGAGCAGAGATGAAAAATACCAAAGAGAAAATGGAATACACTGCCGACCCAAGTTTTGAAGGCTTACGCTTTACATGTAAGATTGTTATACACTTCTTTCCGCACTCAGATACAGAACCCGATAACAGACGATCTCGACATATTTTTTGAATCAATATAAAAATCGTCATTTTTCAAGCTATCCTTTTGATGTATTTTTAAATAGAAGTAGCAACTACAAATCCTGATTTAATTATTGGATGCACAAATAACTTTTGTAAAAATCCAAAAATAATTTGCGATTCTTGATCGGCTTCCGCAGGAAGCAACCGTTTACTTAGTATGGCCTTGCCTTTAATAGCAACTCAGCTCCACTACTCAACGCTACTACTCTGGTGTTGAGTTGTAAACTTAGTTAGTTCACGTCGATTTGCCCCAACAGACAGATATGACTGCTAAGATTGATATGTCACCATAGAAACGGTCAGTAAGTTGAGATTTCTTTTTACGGCAGTTAGTTAGTACATTCGACTGACTCGCTATTGAATTTGATTTTCACGGCCTGTAGAGACAGAGAATTGACCGAAAAGAAGATGAAAGCTATTCTGTGTATTGCGGTAAGAAGAACAATTTTTAACCTTATAAGCATACATATTACATTGAACTTATCATAAACGCAGTTCCAACAATCTTTTCTAAATTATCATTCGATGCGAGCGTAAAATTGCCGATTTTGACTTGATGATTTCATCATAGACAGTTTGTGAAGGGAGATTACCACCGTATCAAAGATGACATTAAAGTATTACCGTTCGCCTCTCAATTTAGTCACTTAAGAGGTGGATCACAATGTCTCGATGCACGCCACTAGTCTTGTTCAGCCGGTTTCTCACTATTCCTTCATGGAGGTTTTGTTTAACAGACGGTGCATTTTCTTTCAATTTTGTGATGCCTTTGTCCTATGAATGGCGTTATACTAAAAATTCCTTTTTACGCGAAATTTCTAAGACAAAAACAATTGAATTTACTCCGCTCTGATTCTAGCACAGCGCTTCTAAAAGAGATTTTACATGATTTCGCGTGAAAAAAAGCTAACTTGACCTCATTAATTACAAATAAGAGCGCTATGATCTATTCTGTCTACTTAAGGGGGAAAGTATTATCTTGCCCGCCGCCATTTTACATTCTGTTGGCTAGTTTTGTTATTTTTTAAAGGTTTTTTCAGTCTCAGAAAGAAAAAAAACAAAGCCAAAGAAGACTTTAAAGACTTCTTCCCCTTTCAGAAGTATGAATACCCAAATCGCCCTTAGTAAAGTAAAGTTCCATGGTAACGAATGTGTTTTAGTAAGAATGTGTTCGTCATGAGAGTGTATACTTTTAAAAGCCGATGGAGAACCATTCATTGTACTTCGTTAGACAAGGCTATCTGTTTTTGTTATCGCGTCAGATGATTTACTTTTTTTATGTACGAGTCATCTTTACAGACTAACAATAGATACATATGCTTTCGTGTTTCAAGTTCAAGGCTTCCCTGTCTTTACAAAATTGTTCGATAAATTAGCTGGTGATTGACACTAAATAAATAACATCCGTTCCCAGCGCTACTAGTAACTTGGTCAGTGCAATAATGGCTGTGCCTCTCTAAAAGATATCAGTGGCCATCTAAAACTAAACAGTTTTGTGTCTTTAAATGTAAGAGCCGATGTTAAAATCTTTTTCCAAATGAAAGAGGTGGTAATTAACCAGAAACTAATATTTTAACAATTCTATTTTGCCTTGTTTCAGTTTGTCCTATTAACCACCACATTACTTGCATTATGGTATTTGCCACCAACAAGTGAGTGAAAATGTTTTGTTACCTACATAATTTGGTACTTTGTGGGCTAAAGAATCCTAAACTCGAATCTTGTTATTAATCAAGTTGTAATTCTGATTAAAAGAAGTTTGCAGTTTTGATTGAAAAATAACTTTAAAGACTGATCACTCTTCTACTACTCCTACGAAAATCTAGTCACTTAACTCTGGTGATAATTGCACTGAGGTCTGTTGCAGGAAAGCTCTCACCTGAACAATCAGTATCACATCTTCATTTCGATTGTAAACTGCTTATTAGATGCAATTTCTTCAATTTTGTGATCAATTTGAGCACATAAGTTTTTCAGATCATATGCATCTGAAAGACTTCTCAAATATTATTCCACCTCTTTATTTTTTCCAGTAGCTTTGCCTGTCAAATGGCGTGACTATTTCAGCCATGAAACAAGGGATTACTGGGAACTCCCTCGTCGAGAGAATGCACATTTACGAAAGGAGTCAGACCTCGTTGAGAAATGTTGGAAAGGTAGCGGAAGTGACGTCAGTGAAGGAAGTGAAAAATACATTAGTTGGGGTGGTGAAAGTGATGAGTCAGGCAGTGGCGCCGGAAGTTTAGAGGAGGAAAGTTCAGGTAGTGATGGGGAAAGTAAAGGAAGTGGAGAGGGAGGCAGCGGAGAAAATGAAGAGGAAGGAAGTAGTGGAGAAAGTGGAATGAAAGAAATCAGCGGAGGAAGTGGAGAGGAAGGAAGCAGCGAAGAAAGTGAAATGGAAGGAAGCAGCAGAGAAAGTGGAGAGGAAGGAAGCAGCGGAGTAAGCGAAATGGAAGGAAGCAGTGGAGAAAGTGGAATGGAAAGAGGCAATGAAGAAAGTGGAGAAGGAGGCAGTGGAGAACGTGAAATGGACAGAAGCAGCGGAGCAAGCGGGAAGGAGGGAAGCAGCGAAGAAAGTGAAATAGAGGGAAGCAGCAGAGAAAGTGGAGAGGAAGGAGGCAGTGCAGAGAGCAGAATGGAAGGAAGTACTGGAGAAAGTGGAGAAGAAGGAAGCAGTGGAGAAAGTGGAAAGGAAGGAGGTAGTGAAGAAAGTGGAGAGGAAGTAGGCAGTGGAAAGAGCAGAAAAGAAGGAAGCAGTGGAGAAAGCGGAGAAGAAGGAAGCAGTGGAGAAAGTGGAATGGAAGGAGGTAGTGAAGAAAGTGGAGAGGAAGTAGGCAGTGCAGAGAGCAGAAAAGAAGGAGGCAGTGAAGAAAGTGGAGAGGACGGAAGCAGTGGAGAAAGTGGAATGGAAGGAAGCAGCGAAGAGAGTGGAATGGAAGAAAGCGGTGGAGAAAGTGGAGTAGAAGAAAGCAGCAGAGAAAGTGGAAAGAATGGAAGCAGCGGAGAGAGTGGACTAGAAGGAAGCATTGAAGAAAGTGGAGAGGAGGAAAGCAGTGGAGAAAGTGGAATGGAAGGAAGCAATCGAAAAAATAGAATGGATGGAAGCAGCGGAGAAAGTGGAATGGAAGAAAGCAGCGGAGAAGGTGGAGAGGAAGGGAGTAGCCAAGAATATGGAAGCACAGACGAAAGTGGAGGCGAAGGAAGTGGCGAAGAGTATGAAGAGGAGGGAAGCGGTGAAGAAAGTGGAGATGAAGGAAGCGTCGTGGAGAGCGGGAAGGAGGGCAACAGTGGAGAAAGTGGAGAGGAAGGAGGCAATGAAGAACACGAAGAGGAGAAAGGCAGCGGGGAAAGTGAAAAGGAAGGAGGTGGTGAAGAAAATGGAAACGAGGAAGGCGGCATGGAGAGTAGCGAGAAAAGTGGTGAGGAGGAAGGCACTGGAATGGAAAATATCATCGCTGTTAACAATGGCCGCGTTCTTTTGGCCGGTGGCATTCCACGTAACCCTACTACCGAGCCCATTTCACCGACACCTGAGATTACAGATGCCGTTCAGGACCTTCTAGAGATGACCTTAAAGAGATAGAGAATGCAGCTGAGCTTCCATTGCCTTAATTGGGTTGGAGTGTCAGCGCTGATTATACGACTAGTTATAATTTTGTATAGTTAAATATGATTAGAGATAAAACTAGAAACGAACATAACTTCCCATGCTTCACTTCTTCTGCGGGACAAAAATCGCAGTGCTTGAGTGAGATACAGGGTCGCTTCCAATTTAGTTAGAAAATTCGGTGACCATTTTCTTTCAAGAGGATCAGTAAAAACCTTTTTTTTTTCCTTACACAAAAGAACGGGACAACTATGCTCCATTTGTATAACAGAATTTTCTCCCAGCAAAAGAAAAAAAAACACACTTTGGTTGGAGAGGCAGTCGGCTCTAGTTCTATTCGCTCATTTTAGCCGAGATTTCATGCCTTTTTAGACTGCAAGCGATGGAAAAAGGAAATTACCTGCAAGGAGGTCTTCAATTCTTGCCCGGCCTTGAGCAACTCGACCCGGCGAGTTCTGCCAGGGCTTAGCACTGATTACTTCAGTGCCAAAACCCGGCAAACCCTCCCCCTCTGAAATCTTCCCGCGGGCGGAGAAGCGAGCGTTCTGTAGTGTTCATAAAGAAGATCTGCTCGCAAGCTAATGAAGTATGAAATAATTGAAATGTATGCAAAGCTGTAAAATCGAGTCAAGCACCAATCAAGTCAGAGTTAGTTTAATTGTATTTATAAACTCCTTAAGCTGGGTTCGTCAACTTACAACAAGAAAAAAGCATGGTAGAGCTTGAGAAATAAATGGTACAATGATCGTTTGATTATTCTGTCAATAGGAAAAAGGGGAAGAACAATTTAAGGTCGTTCCATTGCATTTCCCATAAGATGAAATAGCAAAACAGCCCTAAACTGAAGTATACGAAGATGTAGTTATCTCCTTTCGATCCTGCAATTTTTTTGGCGTAATGCTACGGATTTTTAACTTTTAGCTCATTATTAAGCTCCAATTTGAATCCTATTTGTCAAATTTGGATTAACTGACAAAGAATCAGCCAGTCAGAAAAGCCATCACAGTCACGTTTACATCATTTACTGTTAGAGAAATTAAAAACGCCACCTTTTAGGTACAGTTGTAGAAAATTTGTCACCAAAACTAAACGACGTTATATTTGGGTATCAAACAAAATTGGTCTACAAGTAAATTGCACACTAATTGAATTGCCATGTAGTCGGTAAATTATCAGGACTCTCAGGGATTCCCCCATATCTGCGCAATTTTCTTCTGCGTCGATTTGCGAGTGACCAAGCTGCTGTCTCGAGAGCCTTCTTCGATCCTCCTTCGCGAAGGAGAGTGGACTCATCAGTGGCTGGTGATCGACCCGGAGATGTGACAACTTTCAGTGTAGCCTGAATGTTGCGAAGAAAACTGTAGTAGGCCTTCCACGATTATTTTGTTACACCCGCTGGTTGTCGATTGGTCACATGACCAAAATGGATATCCCATGAACGTTTGCAAAATTAAGCACAAGGAAACTGGACACTAATGTATTTTCCGCGCTGAAATTTAAACATGGCGACTAAGTTTAAAGCTGTTGCTTCCAAATTTATAATTCCAATTTCCGCACTGAGCGATCCAAGTAATTTTGAGAGATCTTAATTACACCATTAAATCAGTGTTGTTAACTAACATCGGCTTTATTCTCTACTGAACTTTCATTAAGGAAAACTGAAGGTAAAACGTAGCTTTAGCTGAGGTAAACCCGATATTGATTGATCGAGAGTGTGTTTACGCCGCTCGTTTCCGAAGTTTACTCAACGATGGACGAGCTTTCATCAGAAGACAAGAAAAGCCGTTATACTGTTAAGGTTTGTATAATTTTTTTCAAGTACGTTATTAATCAGAAAAAATAGGCCCCTTACTCAAGTGTTCATCTATGTACATTTCCTATGTAAGCTATTCATGTTATCTTTAACACGAAACACACAAGAAAGTTGAGTGCAATGTAAAACTTTAGACAACCCCAACAGTAAAAATGCCACCACAGGGTAAATTGTCGTTTGATAACATAAGTCATGTTATATTTAAGAGCATTCTGTTATTGACTTGTACATACAGCCAACGAGTATGGATGACTTTAATATAATCAAACCAATCAGCCGTGGTGCCTTTGGGTAAGTCATCTTTAATCCTTCAACTTTACTCAGTTCACTGGATGCACAGCATAAGTGGGAGAGTTGTAGGTTATTATCGAGTGACACTTTCTGTGACTACAACAGTAATGTCACAACACTGTTGAAGATACTGTTTCTTATTTCAAGACAAATAATGGTCAACTTCAAATGAGTTCAAGAATTTGCACAGAGAATTTATTGGAAATTATTTTTTCTGGTTGTTACTGGTGTAGTTGTTTGATTTTGGAATACTTTCATCCTCGTTACATTGTGAGAACATTGCTCTTTTTGTTAATCAGTCTTCTTTGTTTTATAATTTTGGTACCTTTGTGTTCAACAAATTACCTTGTTGAGTCCACGTTGATTGAATTAGGTTTTTCAAGTAATTAATACATGGAACTTGGCAATTTTACCTGACATGACTGGATGGTAATTTAATAATTAATTAGAATGTTATGTGAATAGTAATAGGTGATGAAGAGTTGCTTTTCAGGAAAGTATTTTTGGCTCGAAGGAGAGACAAAGATCAACAATTCTATGCTGTGAAGGTGGTAAAGAAGACTGATGTTGTGAACAAGAACATGATGGAACAGGGTGAGGAGCAAATTTTAAGGCAGGACTTTTGTACAGCCCCATATTTTACTATGCACACAGTTGCTGGATAAAGGAAACAATGGTATAAAACTATGGGGAGTGTTTGGGACTATGGCATTGTTTTACAATTATAGTACAGAGCAAAAAGGAAACTTCTCCAATTTTTCTGTGGGAAAACATGGCACATTTCATTCATGTGAATTTCCTTTTATTGTCAAAACGACACTATTCTGTTATGTATATAACAGGACTTTTTTTTTTATCCAGTGGTAGCAGAAAGAGACTGTCTGGCAATTGCAAAGAGTCCCTACATTGTAAACTTGTTTTATTCCTTTCAGTCAAAAGATAGGATATTTCTGGTGAGTTCTGTTGTATTTTTAACCTTTAGCACACTAACATCAGTAAGCATATGCATTTCCTTAATTGCTGACAAGGAGAATTTATTTAACAATTAAGAGCTTCTTTAGTTGGTGATCATTTCCTTTATTCTTGTGACCTTCATGTTTGACTCAGGACTCCTCATGAGGAGAAGTTAGGTGCTGGTCACTCTTAGGGATTTAAAGGTTAATGCTTAAGTAGGTTTAGAGAGACTGTCTTTTGTTGACTAGTTAGTTGTTTGTTTTTCTCAGTTCATGTGCTACTCAGTCCAGTTTTATCCTTGACTGGAGTTTGATTTTAAAATCATCTTTTTGGTACATAATGAATTCTTTATTGACCAAGTTTGTTTGGTCAATAATACATATAACTGTTTACTTCTTGATTTAGGTCATGGAGTATTTGATTGGAGGAGACTGTAAATCATTGTTACATAACATGGGATACTTTGATGAAAACATGGCAAGAATCTATATATCACAGGTCAATTATTCATCCTGATCATTTCATTATCGTCCTAGATACTTTACATTTGAGGATAATGTAGCTTAATATGACTACCAGTGCTTGTGCATGTTAATGTGTTAGAAGTTCCCACTGTTCTTTACAAAGCAACCACTGGCCAAAAATCCTTCCAGCAGTCACCAATTTTTTTATCTACTAGCAAATTTTGCAGGAAGCTGAAACTTAGCAATAACCCTGTCACTAGCTGTATGGGGAAATTAACCTGTGCTCCTCTGCTCCCAAAACAGATGGCTCCTTCCTTTTCAGAGGATTGCAGCATGTCCTTGAGAAAACAGCAGTAATAAAGCCTACTATGAGTGATGCTGTGGCTTAATTTGGACTAAATCTGTCATTGAGACCTGGTTGGGTTTTTTCCCTGGGTAAGACTATCGTCGCTCTCACAGTCACTCAAGAGTTGAAATGGGTACTAGCAAACTGCCAGAGGAGCCTGATGACAGGGCAGTAGCCTGCAATGGACTAACATCCTATCCAGGGGAGGGAGAGTAGCTATGGTCCTAATCACTTCTAGCTGTCAAGACTGGTATAAGCAGTACCTCCTGGGTCACATGGCATCAATGCATACCAACCCTTTCCCACCTCACACATGAAATACATCTCACAGTTTCTTCACTTGTCTTTTGAGTCCTATTTTAAATGATTTTTCTTTTGGCTGCAGGTAGTCTTGGCTTTGGATTATCTTCACAAACATGGGATTATTCACAGGTAAGAGAAACATCTACAGTGTATGCAATTCAAAATTGAATCACTTTCCAGAAAATGTTGTTTTATAGCTTGTTATGACTCAAACACCAGTCACAACGAAACTTCATTCTCTTAGAGTTTCTTCATGGAATTAACCAGTTTGTTGGCTGTATGTACAAGTTAATAATAGAATACTTCATCATCTGTGATTAAGAACCTGGAATATAACATCCCAAGAGCTGTACTATTTCTGGCTCTTCCATACATACAGCATTGTGATTGTTTTTTGAATTTATTCCCCCTCCCCCTACCAAAAAAAAGAAAAACAAAACAAAAATCCTTTCTGGTCATTTAGCTTCCTTTTTCTTATTTTTTATTTTTCTCTCTCTCTTTCTTTGTCAACTTGATGTCTTGAAAAAAAGAGTTTCTCCTACAGCTAGTGTTACTCTGATGTGTTTCAGATGAGTGGAGAATAAAGAGTGTCTCCATATTAATTGTGCATACCATTAAGAATGTTTAAAGCCTGTTACTTAGGTCACCTGTCTGCATTCATGAATTTTTCTAAAGTTCTTTTTCAAAACGCAACTTTAGGGATCTTAAGCCAGACAACCTTCTAATCTCCAATGAAGGAAGAATCAAGTTAACTGATTTTGGGTTGTCAAGGTTGACATTGGAAAGAAGTAAGTCTATTTTATCAATTGTGAATATGAATCATTCAAACATCGAATAAACCCATGATTTTTTTTTTGTGGTTTTTTTGCTGTACATCTGTTACCGTAACTTTTAATTTTAAATGCAGCAAGTTGATTTTTGACAACTTTCATCTATTTGGAAGAAGTTGATAGCCTTTGGATTGAACATGTCATAGAGATGTTCTGGTAAAACTGTACCATGTAACCTCTCCCCATAATGTGAAAATGAATACTTCAAGAAGGTGTAAAGGAATGTTCATTGTCCAGAGCCATCAGGAATTTGTTTTTTACTTAAAATCACTCTGTGATTGGATAACAAAACGTGCACCTCTTCCTAAGCCAATCAGATTCAAAACTGGATATACTGGATCTATGCAGTACTGGATTTACTGGATTTATAGTAATTTGGCACGTTCACGTTTAAACGAGTCATGTACTCATCCGTGTAAAATGGATAAATAAAATACCTACCTACCAACCAGAACCTGTCAGTTGTGCCTTTGTCACTTAAGTTTTGCCACCCAACTTTGATATTTTAGTGGAATGAAGCTTTTTACCTTATGCTATTAGCTGCATACCCCTGACAACATAATCTTAAAACATTTGTCTCAGAACCTAGTTTCATTGATGTGATGAGCACACCATCTCTGAACAAGAATGACAAGACTTCAGGTTCAAGTTTCTTTAGAACACCTGGTCAAGTAATGTCACTGACTTCCAATTTCACTTTTGTAAGTATACATAATTTCATATTCAAGTTTATTTTGTTATCAGTAGTTATAATATTCGCCCAGGAGAAGTAATAGATCTGAAATACTTCCTAGTCGCTTCCTGCTGCACAAACCGCGGAGTTACGCTGGGATAAATGTGCATATACATAACAAATACGTAATAAATCATCACCTGCGATGCGAACACCAAATTGTTTACATTCTGCTACGTAAATATTTAAGCCAGCGGCGATTGTAATGAATTAATATGGCATATTCGCTTCGTTATTTGCTTAATAATACACGTGTTTCAATACCTTGTATAAATGACATTTTCCTTTTCCTTAGAATCATCAACACCTCAAATCAAGCAAATTCACTGCTACTGCTCGTTATTCGATAAATTCGTGACGTGACGTGACGCGACGTGAAGCGACGTGCGACTGTGTAACATTGTAGCTTAAAAGCTAATGAAAAATTCTTATTACGTAAATTTTCCGTTGTCGACTCATCGCTTTCTCAAACCCAAAAGTTCTTTGTCTTACACAACAGTGTAACACGACGGAAACTTATAGCTCTGAATAACAAGGGCACATAAGTCGCGCATTTTGTTCGACCGTGCGCGCACAAATATCGTATATATGCGTCTGACTACACTACGTCTGAGCGTCTACGCAGCTAACATATGTCTGGGCGGTACTGTTGTGTGTCCCTTCCCGGATTACTCTAAACAAATTATTTTGGTGTCAAAATAACGGTTCTTTTAGCAGTCTAAAACTAAAGGGAAACTAATGTTTGTGGTGTTAGTCATTGTCTGCGGCGAGACCAACGCAGAGGTCACGACTAAACAGCAGTTGCTCATCACTGGAGGAACACATGGAAACCACACCCATAAGGCAGGTCACCCCGGTCTGTCGTGTTGACAAAATCCCTGGTGCAACTCCAACTGGGATTTTGGGACCTAACAGCCAAACTCCGCTCGCTGCTTCTGGAGGTAAATTCTTTAGATTTGTAAAATAACAGATTGGGGCCCAAACTGGCCTTCTCTACTAATGGAGTCGGATTTGTAATCAGAGGTGCACAGCAATACGATCTGGTGAACTTCAAAATGACTGAATAGGAAGCAAATACTTATGCCGCTTATGACTCCTTCGCTCATGATCTAATGAAAACTACATCCTTGGAGTCATACAGTACTGTATCGGGATAGCCAGTGAACTTGCACTGTGGTTGTTTGACTCTTTTCCTTCAGCTTGCGACTTTGACAATCGAGTTTTCAGGACATCTGCAGTGTCACAGTCCAATATTGATTTCAACGAGCTTATTAGTTAGATTAAAATTTAGACAAATCATTGACCAATTTTCTTTTCTTCATATGTCGGTTTGTACAGGTCAGGCCGTCAAAAAGCGAACCCAATTCTGCCCCAAAATCAGCCAAAAGACTTTTAACATTGACGACCCCCCTGGGACACCTCTGGTTGCGGATTTAATGCAGCACAAAAACGTGAGAAACAGATCGCCTGACGAAGAAAACCAACTGCCGGCCTCAAAGAGACTTCGACAGACTGGGCTGACCAGGGAAATCGATGCGTTAACGCTGAAGGAAATACGAAGGAGCTCGGAGAATGAGTCTCCAAGAGGCCCTTTGCAGGAGGTGTGTACACACCAAGGACCCCTGGTAAAGGGAGCTGATATCATACCCGAGAATTCCCTTGTGCGCGACAAAAGCCCTCTGGAATGTAAATGTGAAAGCGAGGGAAGGACAGCTTCCCGGGAGCAAGAAATTATCACTACTCCGAACCCCTCTAGTTGTGCACCGTTGGTCCTTAAGTTTTCCAGTCCACGTGAACGAGCAGGGACTATGATGGAATTTTTGAAAGAGAAAGGACAAGTAACTCCTAACAACGAATGCTTGGAGAAGGAGCGAGCCATGAGTACCTTTACACCTTTAACATCTATGACGCGTAGAATTACATCGCCTGGGATGCCTTCTACTTCAGGTTATGACAGTGAAACGAGTAGTTCTTGTGAAGAAAGTAATGAACAGTACCACAGGTATCCCAACGAAGCAGTTAACAGTGATTTAGAGAAAACTGATAAAGAATCGAGAGTAATTAGAACACTTGAACTAGCGGGAAATAGAGTAAATAACTTTGGTTCGAGAACATCTCAGAGGGCAGATACAAGCGGGAGTTCCGGTTTTAATTCAAGTGGAAGTCCATGTGTAAGAGAAGGAGAATTTACTGTTAATCAGACACCAGATAAATTGGAAATCGAAATCACAGATGTGATTTTACCAACCGTTGGTAATGATAAGAACAATAGCCTCTCGAGGCGCGAGAGCGGGATTGCAGTACTACCACCTTCACCAGATGTGAGCGACAGAAATGTAGACAACAGCTCAGCTGATGAAGTAGAGAATGAGAAGTTTTCATCACATCCTGTTGGTTTTACGGCCGAAATTGATAACTCCTCCTCTGAGTCGTGTCCTTCTCATCCACTCGAAAGAAGTTTGACAATCGACTTCGAAAATAAACAAAACGTAAGGGGCGTTAATTTGAAGCCAAGTGAAGATGATTATTTGAACAGAGGCGAAGTCTTTCATGGGGACAGTGAGGTGGAATCCTCGAGTCGCTCTCGTTGCATGACAATCCCTTTTGAGAACAGCGATCAAGAACACGAGGAAGAAGAGAAAAGTGTCACTCAGGCTCCAGGTTCTCACATGGATATTAGTTTACCTGTTACAATAACTTCTGAATCGCCGATGGATGTTACTTTTCAGAGTAGCTCAAGCTTGAAAAGTACCCCAGGCCCCATGGAAGTGTCCAACCAGTGGCACCACACCTCAGCCCCTCTCATTCGGACACCTTTTAGGACCCCTAAGTCTTGTAGACGAGGAAAGCGGCCCACATCGTCGCCACCCAAGAACAGAATCTTGGGAACACCAGACTACCTCGCACCAGAAATACTCTTGAGAAATGAGCACAGTAAGTTTGGCATAAAAATTTTTTACCTGTCATTAAGACTTTGACTGTAAGAAAGAACATCATCTCTGAGTAATTGAGGGGTTTAAGTAAATGACTTAATAAATTCTGGATAACCAATCGTTTGCAAAAGCAGAAGATCAGAATGTTACAGCTAGAAAAACTGGGTTGTATAGAAAACTCAGAAAAATTATTTCTCGAATCATTTTTCATTTCATCTCCTTCAAAACACCAGAAACATCTTCTTTTGCACCTTCTCGACCTCGTAGTTTCCATTTCTAGACCACTTTTTACCCGATCCCTCGGTCACTTCATTTTTGAACGAAGTCAAACCACACAATAAACCGGCTTATCAAACCAGTAAAGTCAAAATCACCACAAAATCCTTAGCTTGCAAACATAAGGATGTTGAAATGATGTACATGTAACGACTTATCCCACGACTATTTTTCGAAGAAGTGTGTGGCTTTATCTGAGGTGATTTGATCAAAATCTTTTTTTTCCTAAGCCCCAGCAGTGGACTGGTGGTCCCTAGGGGTATGTTTGTACGAGTTCCTTACGGGAGTTCCGCCATTCAACGACGACACACCCGAGCTGGTCTTTAGTCATATTATGCAAAGAGGTAAGATGTTGAGTGCACAGAAAATATTCGAGGAATGTAACTTATTTGGGGTTGTAGTTGAGTCGTGCACAAAGTACGTGTACGAGCAAACCGCGATGCAATGTGATGTTGTAAATTTATGTAATCGTTTTACGTTGAAGAATTACTGTGGCCAGAGGGAGAAGAGGCGCTGTCCCAGAATGCAGTAGATGCTGTGGAACGCATCCTTATTCTTGAGGCAGAGCAGAGACCTGGTGCTAAAGGTTTTAATTTTTTTTAATCGTTGGTTGTCATCTGATTTTTAAAAGACCTTACTCTTCTTACTCTTCTTAAAGTTAAAAATCTCATAATTAAAGCTCTCTATCTAGACTCAAATATATATACATATATATATATATATACTTAGAAACCTCACAAAATTTCATTTAACCAGTTGTTGTTTCAAGTTGAAAAAATGTGATTTCATATTTGCATAATATTACAAGCAGCAAATCAGGAGTATATACCACCCCTTCCTCCCCCTTCCCTCCCCCCCCTCCCCCCCCCTCCCCCTTCCCTACCCCTTCCCCACCCCTTCCCCCCCCCCCCCCTTCCCTTCCCCCCCCCCCCCCCCCTTCCCCCCCCCCTTCCCCCCCCACCCTTCCCCTTCCCCACCCCTTTCCCCCCCCTATACCAGTGACTTCATGTCTCCGATTTTATGAACCTCGTCCGCACCAAGTTTTCGTTTTGTAAATTGAACCATGCACTGAGACTGATTCGGAAAAGATGTTTTTTTTCTCGTGATCAGTTTTTTTTTCTGGTTTCCAATTTGGAGGGTGTTCTCTTTTAGTTTCCGTTGATGATAAACCAAACCGCTCATTCGTTCATCAGTTTCTTATTCCGTACTTTTAATTCATAATTCGTTAACACCAAATGCATTTCGTTTCAGTGACGTTTTTATTTTTTCGTTCTTTTCGTTTTAGAGATAGAAAGCCTTCCGTTCTTTTCAAATATGGATTGGTCTTCGATTCATAATCATCCCCCTCCTTTTGTGCCCCATCCAGATGACATAACTGACACCATTTATTTTCACGGTAGGTCCATTTTTCATTTCGGTCATCTCGGGTGTTCATGCAGCAAAGTAATGTACTTAACAAGTTGCCGATAGGAGAATATAATTCTAAAATGTATTGCACTCGAGCCCAGTGGCCTTCAACGTTGGAGCTCATCCCAGTTTTCATGGCACAAAGCACGAAGCGGTCAGTAGGTAGTGTTGTTACTCCTCCTGGATGGTGATGAAGTGGTTTACCTCCCCCTCCTCCCAACCTACTGAAACTGCTGTTCTGTGGGACATCTTTCCCTTTGAACACAACACAAATGTTTCGGGCTGCATGACTCTCACCTGTACTTTTTGATCCGGATTTTAGAAGTGTAATTGCAATTTTAGGCCGCCATGTATCTTGAGGTGAATCTTTCACTTTTTCATCGGTTCAACCCAATTGAAAATTAACAATAAGGTAAGAAGCAGACACACCTAGTTAAACTTACTCCTTTGTTCAATTGTTTCTTGGTTTTTACAGCAAGAAACACGATGCAGAATCTTCGAATGTCGTCCTTTAGCCACTGAACAAAATGGTTCGCTATTGAACTCGTTCTTCATTCATCAGATTGCAACGAACTGCGTAATTTCCAAGCTTGGTTGAGAGTTTTTCTGTTTATGTTGCTTTGTGCTTATGAAGCCGTAAAATCACCAGTAAGAATCCATTGAGCTTACAGCAACAGTTCTGTAATCATTTCAGTTTCCATGGCATCTAGTTGCAAAAATATATCTTTCATGAATGTATTAGTGATTTTGTATGATATAATGATTATAATTATTTTCGCTCATGATAGAAAAGCGTTGACATTTCATGCACCCAGAGTGCCTGCAATAAACCAGTCTCGCTTTGTTATTTGTTTGTTGATGTTTTTACATTTTGTTCCACCAGTATACCAAACAAGCCTGGTTTTTTGAAATCTTTATCCTGCAGTTACGTTCAGTGACTTTGCCCCTCTCCAGTGACTTTGCCCTAACCACCCGTATTACCCAGTGCCCCCTCCCCGCCCCTCCTACACCTTAATCTTACCATTTTGTTTGTGTACTCAGACATGTGCACAACAATCTAACTTATCACTCTCGTTTCCTTAAATCTCACTCATCCATTGTAAAGTGGGCGATCAGTATTTTAGTCAACAATGTGAGCATTGAATGGGTAAAGTTGTGTCTCTCCTCGCCTGACCTCCTCGCATGACGCTCAAACTTTTGCTCGAATTTTTTTTTTTTTTTCGCTTTACGATACTCAAGGTTGAATCATGTAGGATGTAGAATGTAGACATTACACAAATTAGATTGATGATGTCTGTTTGGATAATTCGATCGTTGCTATCAAGTAATCAGTGCTGTTGATATTTCCTTGAATATCGTATGCGTGTTATAAATATCTCTCATTTTTGTCACAATTTTCCCGTCCTCTTAGTAGAATTATTGTGGTAATATATTGCCTTTACTCCAACTTGCAGCTTATCTTGACACATTCGCCAACAAGATATGCCTGTATGAGTTACTACGATTGTTTTTCATTTTGTTTTGCCACTAAAATGATCAAAATACCTCTTTGTATTGGGGGAGGATGGAACTTGATGAGGAAAAATATTGCTAAAATATTGTTTGGTTTTCCTCTTCAATCTGTCAAAATTTCTTCTTGATTCAACTTCCTTTTATCCATTGATATCTGAAGGTTTTTATGTCTTATTACAATACTGGCGAAATGCCAAACAGCTTGTCTTGCAAAGTTATTCTGAGAAGTTTTCTGTTTTTCACTGTTAATAAACCGATTTGACCCATTTTTTCTTCATGAAAGGCCAATTTTCAGTATAAATTGGGTTTTTGTTACTCAGAAATTACTTGAAGTCAATTCAAACTGATTGGTATTGATTATCAACTGATTTTTTAAAATGAAATCTCTAGTTCAGAGTTTATCGTTATCGAAAATCGCATCAAATTTCAGGTCAGAGCACTATTAACTCGACTTTCAGCGCGGAAGGAAGTGTGAAACATTAAAAAACTCGAAGTTTTGCGAATAGGTGCGTTGATGAATTGAAAAATGCCGAGTTTTTCTTTTTCGAGACATTGTCGATTGTCTTGAGGTAATCTAGAATTTGCTGATAACGAATGAATGATGAACAACACTCCTCTCCAGGTGTTCCTCTACGCAGCTTGAGAAACTCGATCGCGGTAAGCCATGACAGTGTGTATTTGAACGTGACAAAAATTATCCTTCTAAAAGCCAACATCGCTCGTGACAAATGCAACTGTCAAAGAAAGCTTGGTTTTTTAAAAGCATTATCAAAGAGAAATAATCGATGGCACTTAATTAAAAAAATCTGGAGGTTTATTTCACTACAAACCTTTCTAATTTCCTTCCTCTGTAAAGTCGCCACTACAAAAGAAATTTTCGTTATTTTAAATTTTCTTTATCATGTCCTCTTATTTAAATACTGCCTCGTCAGTTTCACGATATTGAGAATTTTTGAAATAAAGTCGCTCTTTTTCTTTCACTTACACTGGCAAAGAAAATGTTTGATTATTTGAAAACTTGTCAAATAGAAATGTGACCGTTTTACAAAAATGAGGAAAGAACTCTCGGTTAGAGCTCAATTCAGTAGCAGTTACGAGGTAACAAAATATTTAGAAAAAAGAAAAAATAATAACCTCGTGTTTAACAATCACTGATGAGCTAACCTTATGAATGACAATTTTCCCGACGTCGGTTTTTATCAACAAACCTAACAATTAAATGAAACGTGATCACGGTACCTTGATTGATATTTTATACCTTAGGGCAATTTTCAATCCATCTCTTCCTTTAAGGAGCGCCGCTCGATAGAAAATCGCCTTATTTATCAACGTGAGCCATGAGCAAACTAACTTTCGTCTTCGTTGAAATAAGCCGGCGTTTATTCTCCTATCGGTTTGGTTAAATTAGAAGGCTGAGTCGGTAAGTGAATACATTTCAATTGGAATTGTTGTTTTTATCCGATGTAAATCTCTTCCTCGTCCGTGATATTGAATGGCGTCTCTCCTCTAGCCTAGATTGGTAAAACTTTCCACATTGGCTCATTTACAAGTACCTACACCCATAACACCTGCAGAGAGTCTGTGAGGAGCTCCCACCGGCATTTTTTATAAATCCTTAGAGACATTGTATGTAAACTAACAAGGTTAGAGAAGGAAATTTTAATACGTAGAATGTCATGTCTCTTTTCAGTGCTCTGTCATTACAGGAGGTGAGGAGTTTCGAAATGGTTTTCTTACAACCTACTAAAGCAAGTCTAAAAAATATGTAGTCTTTCTCTTGTGACAAATTTACTTGAAGAGCGAAACTGAAGCTTTGTTTGGTTTTTTTTTTTTTTTTTTTTTTTTTTTTTTTTGTCGTTTGTTTTTTACTACCTTTATTGATTTGGAGTTGAATTAGACGAAAATCAAAGATTTTCTGGCAAATTTGCCGAACTAACGGCAGCAGCAGATGTATATTACTTTGGTGAAAGAGAGAAGTGTAGTGGGATTTACAATAAGGTATTAACTTTACAAATTCTTTACAGACAAGTAAACAACGCTGAAGGAAAAAGCACTTGAAGATTACGAATGTTGTTAATTAATTTCTGGCCATCTGTGTAGTATTGAATTTATCTCTGGGCACGAGAAGCTTGCTGAAACTTAAAATCGGAAGAAATGACTTGAGTCAGCCGCATAACTAATCTAAAATGGATAATAGAGATTTAAATTCAGACTTTTAACGAATGCACTAATTAAAAAAGGTAAAAATTTTCGTTAAGCCTGCGTGAGATAAAAATCGTTCGATCGAAAATCGTTAAAGCTTTCGAAAGTGGCTTAAAAATGTCACCTACAAATTTTTTAAAAGTTCTCTCCCGAATTAGGTTGAATTTTTCTAGGAAATAATTCCAGTTAATGACTGTGTTGAGAATTATCGTTTTCTTTTCCTTTCTGTTGTGTTTTGTTTTATTCTAATATTTAAATTCTACAGAAACTAAGCATTTCTATGCCTTCGAAGGATATAGTTCAATCATCACCTGAACGATGATTTGTGCCTCTAGAGGCCAACCGGCATGCAGTTCTATAACCATGATCCTTGGGCCGCCAGCTGCAGCCCACTAATAGCCTTCCCACCCTCCCACCCCCTTTCAAATGTTCCCGTTGCCTGTGGCGGGTTATCGACATGTGTTGATACTCTAAATTCGATAACATCGAAAGCAGATAAGTTATGAGGAGCAATAGATTTTGATAACTGATTTCTTTTTAACTGTATATTGTTAATTTGCCGCGTCGAGAGGGAACCTTTAAAACGATGCATTCCGGTTTGTTTGGTTCGATTTGATTAATAGGCCACATAATGCTAGTGTGACCCAGTTTTTGCATTGAATTTGAACGTCTTAATGATGTAGGTAAAACGAAGGAATGCACCAATGAAACCGAACAAAAACACATAAATGGAGGATAGCCATCGCGCTAGGGGCAATCGGCAATGGCACGAATGATTCAGTTATTCGAAATCATAGCTTTACAGTAACTGAAAGCACTCGAAGCATCCCCTATCTACATTTGATCATGATATGGTAAGGTTTGGTAACTCTCTCGTATCGTTGTGGCATAGTTAAAAAGGGCTGGTTCGAGATCGATTCATCTTATGTTTTCAAAAAGCTTAATTCAAAGTATATTTTAGCGGGTTACTTTCTTCAAAAGGCGATGTTGCCATGGCAGTTTCAGTGTCTATAACAACTCCAATTTTAGATGGAGTGAATCAAGGTCTAGACTTAGGAAAGTTAAACCTGTTATTTGCAAAATTATGGAAAATTCGTTCGGCTGATCGACCAAATTTATTGCGCTTTACATCACAAGCCTTCTGAGGGAGGATTCATCTTCTCTTGAAAATCGTCGTTTAAGTTAAGGGTCATACAATTTTAATTTCACGAAGGTCATCATGGAAACGCATCCTTCAAAACAGAACGGTCCAATTTCGTCTTTCATCGTTTGTTGTTGTTGTTATTGTTGTTGTTGAAGAAATTGAGAGTCGGCATTCGACCGTTACAACTTATTCAATTTATTCTAAATGAAAGAAAATTTTCCCTTACTCGAGTAAACAACCACTAAAGGGCACAAGTGTAAGACAACCGTCTCTCTTAATTTTCATGACAATGACAGCTGGCTAATTTAAAGTTATCACAACTTCACTCGAACAAACCAAATAAACAAAACCAAAGCTCTCTTCTCTTTTTTGTTCTTTGTTTATTTATCTTTATTGACTTGACGATGATGTGTATAAAGGTTCGTAATGAACTTAAAGTAAAGCAGGCAACATGTTCCTTAGATCAGAATTATTAAAATTATTGGATGCAAAATATCTAGCGTTCACAGTCTTTCTGGAAAGTTTTCCTAGAAAAGTTTAAAATCAGGACTCTTAGTAGACTGATAGTTCAGCAGTTTGTTTTAACATACTGCTGAAAGAAGAAAACTCACATCAAACAGATATGTTAAAAAAATCTCCCAGGTGTAAGTTTTTTTTCTCTTCCTGTCTGTCTTTTCTTTTCAAAATTTTTTACTACCGACGATCGATAAGGATGCAAAACGAAAAGTGTTAACTAGCTACCAAAATTTTCATTATAATTTCAACGCACACAATTAATTATCATCTCACGTGAAGCTGAAAGAAATGACCCATGTTAATCGTATACTTTAGCTAGTACTTTTGTTCTTTCCAACTAGTTTTGTTGATGTCTCCATTAAGAATTCAAAGAAGTAGCTAATTATTCGCAAGACCACACAATAACAATAAAAACGAGGTTTGAAGAGAAACGCAAAAGCAGTAAGCGGAATGCATGATGAATGATGCTTTTCAAATTTCAAGATGGAAAACAGGTAGGCCCTCTGACTTTTTTAAGACATGAAAATCAGTACACTCTACTTAGTGGAAACAAAACATTTATCCATATTTCAATCCTCGTAGCAAAAGGGGGTTGAACCGCATGCCAGGTTGAGTTCTACTTGAATTCTTTCTCTTTAACTGAACTCCACTCAGTACAACTAATGTAAAGTACGATATGCCAAGAATCAGAGAATTTTGCAGTTTCAGCCAATTTTTAAGAATTTTGTCATTATGGAAATATTTTACCATAGTGTAATGACTTTGAATTGAGTTAAGACAGCATAGGGGATGAAACTTCGCAGTATAGAGCGTTTCTAAGAAAACATCTCGTAGTGTGATTGAACGACGGACTGAAAACAGTTTTGACTATGACAAAGGGAAATTGATTCAAAATTTTATTAGGAAACTACTGAAGACAATGTGGAGGGTAGTTAGTAATTATGTTTACAAATTGATCGGATATTTCCAGCGGTTAGACTCTATGCTCATAGAGCAGGTGTAAAACCATCCCTTTATAGTTAGCTTAGAAAGAAATCGTCTGCCGTGAATAACCAGTTCCCATCTTGTTTTAGCTTAACTTAGCTTGTTTCTTTTTTTCTGTAATGAAGAATCATAGAAATTCCTTGGAAGAGATTTTTTTTAATTTGCTTCTCAGTCTTCCTTCAAAAAAAAAACTTCATCGGAAAAGGAATAACTTACCTACCTTTTTCCATTTTGATTGTCGCTAGGCTCAGTGCGTTTTTAATTTTTATGAGGAAGGCGGAAAATACGTAAGTATGACAAGCAGTCACATAGACAGACGTCTGTCATTCAGCTTGTACACAAGTCTAAACAAATTGACAGGGTTTTTAGGAGTGGATTCATGTTACGTCGAATTCTATTTGCTCGCGCGTGATTAAAAACTGACATCCTGTAAATGACATATGTAGACTGATAAAGCAGAACTTTAAAATTCTTGCCCTCTTTTAAACTTCAGCACGTGTTGAAGTATCCGTTCTTCTAAAAAATATTGTTCTGGTTACATCTGTAAAACGAGGGCTTCGGGACAAAGGTATTCACCTTATATTCTCAAGGTAGTTAAGTGTCGATTTAAATGAAGTTTAGCTGGTGTATGCATAAAAACCAAAATAGTGAATATTTTGAGACTGTAAATTAGTTCTGTACTAATTGCTTTTTTCTGGCAAGCGCGTATAATGATAATTTTACTCATTAAGCGGAAATGACTCTTACAAAAGCCGAAATGTTTTGCGGCAACTTTAATTGCTTTCGAGGTACTAACGCACACAGTCAAATTAAAAAGTTATCGATCGAATCCCTCTTTCATGAAGACTCCTTGTCTAGCAAGAGACGATTTTTACGCAAAAATCAAGAATCGCACATGGATAACTGAATGATCCCCAACCCTACGGCTCAAAGGAATAACATTTGACTCGGTGGGCAAAATCAATTTGCATCCAGGTGAGCTCTGACATACTTCATCATTGGGAATTGTTCAAAACAATTGCACTGCTGGAAACGGGTGTCAAACAGGAATCGCTGCAGTGTAAAATCTAAAGCTTTTGGCAGCTTTAGTTATCAGGCTGGAAATAACGCTTTGATATTACAGACTAAGACACCTTGGTGATTTGATTGTGGTTAAGTGCGGACATTATTTTAGGCCGCGAAGGAAACTAGTTAGTTTCGTTTTACGAGAAACAAATTCCTCTTCAGAAGCCGTAAAATAAGACCTTTCGACTAATTTCAACGAGGATTATAAAACCATGTTTGAAATTTGTCGAGGACAGTCATAAGATGACGATGATTCCGACTCTCTTGAGCAAACACGAGAGGCCTTCTTGGAAGAAGGCGACAGAGCATACAAATAGTACGAGGGCATCTGTTTCAATTTGAAAACAAATTGGAGCAATATTGACCATGACAGAAATTTCAATGACTAATGCGTGAAAATTTATTCCTAACAAGTTATACAACCTTCGGTGAGAGATTTATTGAGGCCTAAGCACAAAACACTGCTTTTTTGTTTATAAAGCTCTAAGAACCCCATGCCAGAAAGGGGGAAAATTGTAACAGCTTGAAAAAGAAAATATAGATGACCTTCTTAAATTATATTCGCCAACTTTATATAAATTTCTAACCTCTAAATAAAACATCATTACGGAGGTTTCCAGGTAGTTGTAATCAGTTGAGCAAGAAAAGGTATTTGAAGGAAAATACCGCCCAATGAAAGCAAGGGGAATTTGGGCTGCATTCACCACATGAATTTCGTGTTAAGAACGAAGACTCATGAATTAATGTTTCCGTCATTACGACTATTACAGGGCTTATTGGCCGGGCATTGCAAGGTTTGTAAAATAATAGCGAATAAATTTTTAGAAACACTTTACTTGTAAGTGAGTAAGGAATTGATCATGACTGAGCCAAGAGGATTTTAAAAAATTCAGAGCTCCAAGCTACAATAAGTTAACGATGAGCCTGTTGGACATTGAAAGATTCTTAATCAGTCGAATACGAAAAAACCTCCTACAGGCTAATCAACCTTGTGGAAATCTTTTTGTACGCAGCCAACAAAAGAATATTTTTTTGTCTTCCAACGTGAGCGCAAAATTTATAGTAGAAATTAGTCGTAGTTGGTTGAAAAAAATTATGGTGTATTTTCAAATGTTTATTCTTATTATATCTCAAAATCCCTCAAGCAATTTCATAATTTGAGTTTCTCATGTTAAGTTGCTTCTTAAAAAGCCTGGCAGTTGTTAACGTTAAATCTTCGAGTGAAACTTAATTTACAACGTCAAGATTTTTCGTAACATCCTACAGGTTAAGTTAGTACTTACAAAGTACTTTCTGCTCCTACAAAAACTTATGATTTAAAGAAAATACAGTTTAGTGAGAGAAGCATGATGTTGCTTGGTAATGCGGAAGACCCTTCTGATGACGTTTAAACGATTTCAAGCTGTCCCTGACCCTGTCTGGTCAAATTTCACGAGATGTCATTTTTAATATCAGCACTGTGTTACCAAAAGAAATTGCTTCACCAAAGCAATTGATAATTATGACTAGTTAGTAAAAATATTTTGAAATATGATATTAAGAATTTGAATATATATATTATTTGTTGGCCCTCGTGAGTAATGTTTCTAGCTATTTGTGTTGTTTTTTCGTGTCACAGGTATATAATCACAATGTCTTTTTATGGTCATGTGCTCCCTCTATACATCTTGGTTAATAATCTTCCCCACGTAAGCGCAAAGACGCCTCTTTACGTAGGAGCCTTTTTTCCTCTGACGTCAGAGCACAATGACGGATGGACAGGCGGTAAAGGTATTTTACCAGCTGCGCAAATGGCGCTCGATCACGTGAATAAAGCCGGAGTATTAAAGGACTATGAGCTAAGAATGATTTGGAACGACACCAAAGTAAGGATTTCCTAAATTTGCTTTCGTTTGCACGTTATTTTTTGTTTTATTCTTTTCTAATTTTTTTCCTTTTTGATGCTGTATTAATTTTTAATTTTTTTGTTTTTTTGAAGTTTGATAGGGTACTGATTCTCTTGGCAGCATAAACGTTAATTAAAGCACAAAATAATAGGAACTTTGTTGCTTAATTTCGCTGGATAACGAAAGTGAATCGCATTTAGAATAGTGGATAGAAAAGACGGGTTCTAGCACATTAAAAAAAAAACCAGAACAGTATCGCCAATTTTTTTTTTTACTGACACCACTCACTACCTTCCATAAGTCTTAGCTTACTCCAATGTCCCACTTCACCGGAGTAAGCTAAGGCAGGAGAGATAGTGAGTGCTGTTAAGGAAAGTTCCAGAAACTTCTGATTTT